GGATTTTAATGCACATTCTGCTTGGAATTCTATTCGGGAATTTCTGGGCGTGACAGTCCGCCTGTCGGAGTCGTCGTCTTCGTCGCGCCGTCGCCCGGCCGAACCCTAGCGCGCCGCCGCCGCCGTTCCTTTCCAAATCTGGCCGCCCCTTTCCTTCTCCGGCCGAATTGATAGAGGGGAAATGATCCTCGGGATCTCCTCTACCTTTTCTCTTTTGGAAACATCGGCTAATTCGTTTTGGAAGTTCGTGGAATCGAGTTCGATTCGGATCGGCCTCTTTCCTCCGAACCCCGAAGTTTCCTTCTCGTCGCCGGCCGCCGTGGGCCTTCGCCGCCCCCTCCTAGCCCCTTTAAAAGGACCCCCGGTGTCTCCTCTACCCGCCGCCACCCTCGCCTTCGCCTCTCGCCGTCCTCGTCCGCCCCTTCGCCGTCGCCGAAGATCACCGGAACACCGTCGCCGCCGTCGACCCGATCTCCGCCGCCGTTTCAACCTCGTCGCCGTCGCCGTCCGTTGATCTTCCGCCGCTCTTTTGGTCACCGGTGAGTTCGCCGCGTCGCGCTCTACCCGTTGGTGTCCTCCGTTCGTGCCGAAGCGCCGCCGTTCGCCGGCGAGCGTGCGCCGTCCGAGCCGCCGCCGCCGGTGGTGACGTCATCGCCGACGTCATCGTCGCCCTCTCCCGTGAGCCGGTCGTAGACCGATCGATCTCGGCCGTCCGTTTTGGATCAAGTCGATCTCGGCCGTCCGTTCGCGTGAACCGTCGCCGTGCGCCCGGTCCACCGAAACCCTAGCCCGCTGACGCAATAAATCTCTTTTTCCTTTTCAAAAATAATTCATTATTGCGTCATAATTCAATTAAAATCAGTTTAAGTGTTTTAATCCGATTTAATCTTTAAAAATTCATAACTAATTCATCTTAGCTCGGATTTAGTTGGTTCAAGTCTCTAAATTTTTCTAAAATTGAGGTCTACATGTTAAAAATATCCACATGTACTGTTCATGCTTGTTTATGTGCTGTTTTGGTGATTTTGCTTCTTTCTGCTTAGATTCCGTCGTTTCCGGAGATTCCGTTTACGCCGGAGAAGAGTTTGAAGAGTTCCAAGGCCAGCAAGGCAAGTCACACAGATCCCAAACAACCCTTTGAGCATGTTGATCCTATTTAAAGCTATTGTTTCTATTCAACTATTGCATTTATTTTCGAATGTCATTGGGTGGAATTAACCTATTGTTTGTTATAGCCCTTTTTGATCTTGATTACTTTATTCCTTGATACCTTGGGTTATTATAATTTGACTAGTTGAGCTTTATTTATATTGGTTCAGCTAGATATTAGATATAATTGCTTAGCCCTGCTTAGAAACATTAGCACATTATTGGGATAACTTATGACTCACTATTATTTAATGATTTCACGATGGTCAATCGTGATTGGTTAATTAATTAATGTGCCAACTAAAACCTGGTAATGGTGGGTTGTGAGCACATGGTCTTGATGGTCGTGCTCATGACAATTAAGGACCGGTTCACGAGTTTCGGTTGTGAAACATTAACCGTGCCAACCACAAGCCAGCATGGGCAACGGCTTTATCTTTTGTATAGCATGGTTTATTGCGGGGCACCAGACTGAGAAGTGGCGGAGATAAGCCCACGGGGGTCGCTGGGGAGTCCATGCCTTGTTTATAAGGGGGTGATTATGATCCAGGAAGGTGCGCTGCGGTGGATTGTGTTATGCAAGGGGTATTGTCACAACTCCGTTCCGAGGTACCGTGGTGGTATTGAGGCACATGGTGACATGATGTGGGGTTGTGTCTTGTGGGTACAGTGGTACACCTCTGATCAGAGTAAAACTATTCGAATAGCCGTGCCCGCGGTTATGGGCGGGTCTAACAATGTCTTTCGTGATTAGTCTCACCCTTCTCACCATAGTAAATGATGCTATAACTGGTAATAATTTGATTAGCTCCTGGTTTGGAATGGTATATTCCTGGTTTGGAGATAGAACTGTGCAGCCGGGATGGTTGTTCAGAATGGTTGGGCCTATACAACAGGGTATGTTGTGTAGCGTTGGATTAATATTGATTAATTATTACTTAACTGTTTTATTAAATTCTGAAATGTTTATTAAAGGCTGTTTGTGCAAATGGAACCCTACTATGCCATCCTTTGTTATCCTGTGCACTTGCATATTTGCTGCGTGGCTTGCTGAGTATGTCATATACTCACCTTGCAATCATTCATCAGAGGAAGAGTTCTACAATGAGGCTGATGGTGTGGAGGATTAGGTGTAGCCTTGGTCAAGCTGCCTGTGGAGTGGAGCCGTCTGCGCCGTTTATCTTATTTTCCGCTGCTTAGATCTTTATTGATTGAGAGGAACTATCTACCTCTGTAATGACCTTTTATTCGCTTATTAATTAGAGTAATAATTGTACTCTATTATCAATTTGTTATTGTGTGCCTCGGCTGATTCCTGGACGAGGGTTCACACACATGTAAGCGTTTGGAATTTTGGATAGAAATTCCGGGCGTGACAACCGTCCAACTTAACGCAAGAAAAAAAACCATCATTTCCAAAAAAATAAGTTAGAGGAAACCATCCAACTCAACGCGAGAAAAAAACCGCCGTTTATAAAAAGAATCGCTCTGAGAAACCGTCCGACTCAAAGCGAGATAAAATTAATGGACGCTTGGGTCGGATAAGATCCATCGATTTTTTTTCCATCTCCTACACATCATTTGTTTCCTCACCTAATCTCCTGCATTGGAGACCCTGCACTTTTGTATGCAATTATCATTATCAGACTTTTTTTTAAGTACAACTAATATTCTTAATAACATATTATATGGAAATAGTATTAAAAATAAACATATTTTTAATTGTTATTTAGAGAAGAGTGCACGGTGACTATTTTGTGTAGACTTTATCGTTAGTGTAGGATTTGATTAACCTATTATTGGTTGCAAGAATAAGATTGAAAGAATATTTTAGATTATATGTATATTGTTATATGAATAATCTAATTATTTTAGTTAAAGCAAGCATTGGTAAAAAGATTGCCATTATCGAGTTTGGGTCATTACATAAAGATGCTCTAATTTTCTAATTGTGTTAGCTACAACGATCCATATAAACATTATCATTGATATGGGTATGCTTGAAAAATGTCTATTGTCATTGGATTATTTTTTTTACCCGTTGCAATGTACGGGTATTTTTTTTGCTAGTACTATTTTAAAATAGATGAAGTAGGTACCTGTTCCCGGTAATACACGAGTGACGGAACACCATGACTCACTTCTACATAGATCTAGAAGAGGTCTTTTTTTTCAATATGGAACTAGAGCAGTGGGCAGCTCCTAATTTGGGTGGAGATTAACTCCAGGATGTAACACCAAATGCGCTGCATTTTCTCAAGAAACCGAAAAACAGGCATTGACTAAGAGTCTATTGCTTAACGTTTTGGAGTTTCTTGAAATGCAGAGCTGAAACTCCTCTTCAAGTTAATTGCTTTGATTAGAGTGGGTGATTAATAGCTCAATGTGCCACATGTAGTGGTAACTCTCGTGCGTGTGCAGCTTATATATGCTGCCTTCTTGCATTCTGTTACGTTCTGTTCTCTGACCCCTTCGATATGGAGACGAAATATAGTATCTTGGAGCTTCTGTTGGTCAGTGCCGAGGGCCTGAAACATGCTCATCACTTAGGTCTATATTCTTCACCCTATCTTGTTTCAGAAACTCTAATGCTCATGACCTCCGATTTTGCTCATTGGCATGGAATGTTTGCAGGAACGCAAAGACACTACGTGAACATTCAGTTCGGGGACCAAATTTTCACGAGCAAGATCACACAAGGTATACATTCCTGTATATACAACAATAGTCAATTGTCATTGCTATCGATAGGGAAAATCTTGCTTTGACATCTGCAAGAAATGCCACTTGCAAGCTTTGTTCAGGTAAAGGTAAAAAGGTTTGGTGGAACGAGAAGTTCAGATTCCCGTTGTCATCGGATGAATGCAAAGAGCTTGCAAAGGTCACACTGAAGATCATGGAGAGGGATAAGTTCTCTGAAGACAGTCTAGTTGGGGAGACAAAGTAGGAGATTGTCTGAGATAAAGCCGAAATATTTTAACTGAAATTAATCGTGGTTACTGAGACTCTCAACATTTGCATCTTGATGCTGTGCGTGCAGGGTTCATGTCGGCGACATCATCAGCGAGGGCATCGAGAGGGAGTTCTTGCAGATGAAGCCTGCTCCCTACAACGTCGTGCTGGAGGACGGTAGGTACAAGGGAGAGCTCAAGCTTGGCCTCAAGTTCCTCCCCAATGTAAGCACGCACAGAGGTCGCTCACATCGCATCAATGACAATGCGTCTGAAGCTCTCGATCGTGCCAGTATACGTAGTATCTTCGTAGGCATTTGTCTTGACCTGGATGCGAATCGCAACTGTGTATGTAGGTAAGCTTGGAGAGCCTGGAGCAGTGCACCGTGCCGCCGCGGAGGCAGACGAGCGTCCCGTACAGGCCTTTTCTGAACATCACGCTGCCGGACATCCCATGGAGGAGGTTATTCTTCTTCTGCACACGCTCCAATGCCAAAGGAAGCAGGAAGACGAAGAACAGTTGATCCGTTGCCATGGTCGTCGCAAAGCCCTTCCATTTTTTCTTGAAATTTCTCCGTATACCCTTTGGAGCTAGCTAGTGGTGTGAACTGTGAAGTGTCTATGACTTGCGAGCTTTGAGGTGCCGATATGTTTAGAATTTAGATCAAGTGGGGGTTTTAAATTTTGTAAATGGAAATTTCTTAAAATATTCCGTTAAGATCAGATTTGTGATTTTTTAGTAAAAAGAAAAAGAAAAGAAAAAACATTAATAAAAAAAGAAAAGAAAATAAAGATGCCCTGCTCCGTCGGCCCGTCCTTGCTTTGGACTTGTTTGGACCGTTCGCTTTGAATCGAACGGTGCATACGCGCTGGGAATAAAAAAAAACAGAGCAGCCCACGCCCAAGTTCGCGACCCCGCTTCCTCTCCCCTTTTCTCCTTTCGGTGCCCGAGTGCCGCCGGGCTCGCCGCGGGGCGGCACGCTCGAAACAGGTGGCGGCGGAGATGGAGATGGGCCTCGAACTCCAACCAGCTGCAGCGCCGTAGTCTCCTCCACTCGCGAGAAGGCAGAGGGGGAGGGGAATCGGCGGAGACCATCGCAGAGTTATTCTCCTCCCTCCTCTTGGAAGGCTGTGAAATCCTCCCTGGCGCTGCTAAGCCTCCGAGCTCCCTCCGAGCTTCCGAGCCATCTCAAGGTGAGGGGAAGTTTTTTACTCAAAACTCGCAAGCTACACTCCCGTAGTTGTATCCATTCGGTGAGGCGCTGTTAGGAAGTTTACTATAGCACGTGTAGCTTACGAGTTAGTCGAGTCTGACTTGCGCATGTAGGTTGTTCGACGAAATGTCTCTTAGAATGGAGTTGTTTAGATTTGGGGCTAGTCAGATTCAATGCCAATTGTAGAAATGGTTTGATAGTTTCTACTAGTTTTGGTGGTAGATTGCAGCTTTTGGCTGAGAAAATAACTAGTACTTTCTTCAAGTGAGTGCTGCAATACAATAGATTTTTTTTTGGTGCTGTTCTTATCAATCCACCCTAAGTGTTTTTGCTGCTGTTCTTATCAACCCACCCCAAGGTCTTTGCTAGTGAGATGATTCTATTTTTATTGAGAAAAAAATAAATTCTGGTACTATACAAGAACTTCAGTGTGCTAAATTTGCTCTATCATTTCTTGCCTCTAGCAGATCTCAGTCAGTTGATTACTAGCTTTCCTTTATGACCTTGCTGCTAGCTTGTAAAAGATGAGCTCAAAATGTGGAGCTCCAAAAGTTAGAAAACCAACAATCAATTACCACCGTCTTCCATTAGATGGTCATCAGTTTGATCTGGATGCATTTCTTACTAAGGATCGTAATGCCAATAACCAATCGAAGCCAAGTACTCAGTCAGGAAGCAAATCTATAGATAGAAGATTAACCACTCCACAGTTAGTATCAGCATTGACTGGGATCTGGAATCTTGTCGGCCAGCCAGAATCTTCCGGCACAGCTCAAATATCCGAGAGCCATGAAATTCTGCATAAAGATGAACCTGTGTGCTTCAGCAAAGAGCAAAAGGAACATGCATTGATGTCTTGCTGTGCTGAAAACTCAACTGGTCTGAGCTCTCAAAACTTTTTATCAACGCCAAAATCAATCTTTGAAGATCTTAGTTTGGTGAAGAAAATGTTAATGCTCACATCATGTAGCAGCATGGCTGGTGGCTCTTCTACATGGAGACATGTGCATGTTGGGAGTGCCTATTATTTAAAGTATCAGAATATATATCCCATGCAAACCAGAATGATGCACACCTATGCTGTTTCTGGCAGTACGGAATTTAAGAAGGATCAAAGCTTTAGAAGGGACGATAACCATTCCAGCCAAACAAGAAACATGCCAACTGAGCTATGTACTAGCTCCAGTGAGGAGGCTCACATTTACGAAAGTTCTCTGCATGGTACTAAATCCAATCTAGAGATTATTCCAGAATATTGTAGTTCTTCATCTTGTTCGTCTCAGCAAATGGTGACTTGTGAAGAGACAAGGATAATGCCAGCAGACCAAATTTCGAGTAACACATGCACACTTACTGAGAACTCAGTGTGCATATCTTGTCCGGTGGGTGATGCTGTGGTTATTAATTCAGAACACACAGATCAAAATGTTGATGGTCTTATGTCTCAGGAGCACTCTGTAGACAAGTATTCACCACAGCTGGAATCATCTGTTCAACATCGATTTTATGGTGCTGTTAATCTGAACAGGCATGCTGTGGCAGGAGCATTAGCTGGCACAGTAGTCAGTGTTTCTCTGCATCCAATTGATACAGTGAAGACCATTATTCAGGTTAACAGTTCTCGACGAAGTTCATTCTACCACACGTTAAGGCGCGCCCTTGTTGAGAGAGGTAGTGTATTTGGATGAATTTTACGCACATCAACAGAGATACTGGCAACTTTGATAGATTTGATTTATTTCCACTTTCTCTTGAATTGCTAGACCTTTTTAATGCTTGACAAATCCTATACAGGAGTTTTAGGACTTTATGGAGGGCTTGCTAGCAAAATTGCTTGTTCTGCACCAATTTCAGCAATCTATACCTTAACTTATGAAATAGTCAAGGGGTCTCTTCTGCCTATTTTGCCAAAGGTGACAATATGTTCATTCATTCATTTTAATTTTTTGGCTCATGTCTATCTAGTTTTTTGTTTACCACAGATTTTAATTTTGTACTATGTTGTTACAATGCCATTTCTTCAGGAGTATCATTCAATTGCTCATTGCACTGCTGGTGGTTGTTCTAGCATTGCAACTTCCTTCGTTTTTACACCCAGTGAATGCATAAAACAGCAGATGCAAGTGGGTTCACAGTATCAGAATTGCTGGTACACAATCTCTTGCCTCATTCTTATAATTCATTGCCACTGCTACGTGCCTTGTTTCTCTATTAAAAAAACACCTCGATTTCAATAGAAACATGACACTACATTTTTCCTCATCCCCTTATACAAGTTTCATGACTTCAGGGATGCTTTATTAGGATGTCTTCGAAAGGGTGGCATTACTTCACTATATGCTGGATGGGGTGCTGTTCTTTGCAGAAATATCCCACATTCCGTAATTAAGGTATTTCAAAAGTTTAGTACCTAATTTACTTTCAGATTTGTTAATTGTGTTTACAGAATACTGGAAGGCCTTGTTTTTCTATTTTACAGTTTTACACCTACGAGAGCCTGAAGCAGTTCATGTTGAAATCAGCTCCTGCTAATGCCAATCTTGATTCTGGGCAGACAGTTAGTACCCTGAGCTATAACTTGTTAAACCGTCTTTGTGTCTTTGTTATCATTAGTCAGGACTGAAGTTAAACTCATTGGCATTCTCACTACTAAATTCAGTTTTTTTCTCTAATGTTTTCGTGCGTAATACAGAATTTAAATTATTTTACATTATGTTTAGATCATAGTGTAGTATCAGATTTTGTTTCATCAGTAAGGATGTAACTAAACTACACCTATTGTTAGTATATTTAGCATGTTTGATGATGCCATGTTACCAGTTCTTGTATTTGAACAAACATTTGCCCAGAATTCTAGTCGGTAGCATATGTATACTTCAATATATGTTTGTATGCTAGTGCTGAAAGTGGGTAGATGAAAGCCTGATTGGTATGACTGTAGATTGTACTGTAAGGTATGCACTGTAATAGAAGCAAAGTCTCGTGACTTATTAAACAAAGTCTATTTGCAGTTATATTATGCACATAGGCTGTGTTCTTTTGTTGGGAACTCCTTTCCTATGCACAGAAAACAAAGCACGGATTAATGTATGATTAATTAAGTACTCCCTCCTTCCCAAATTGATCATCATATATGTTTATGCATCAAGACCAAGGATAATTTAAATCACATCATCAAGACACCATGTACACATTCTCTCATAATGCATGCATCGATTAAAACACTATACCAATTACACCTTAGCATGCACTCATTCTCCCATGCTGCATCAATCGTATTCTGATGAAATTCGTGTCCATGCCATATGATGGTCAATTTGAAAAATTTTGAATTTCATTATATGGTGATCAATTTGGGAAGGAGGGAGTATTAGCTAGTGTTTTTTTTTTTTTGAAAAATGGATTAATATGATTTTTTTAGGTAACTTTCCTATAGATTTTTTTTTCAAAAAACACACTGTTTAGCAGTTTGGAAAGCGTGCTTACGGAAAACAAGGGAGGTGGAGTTGGGAACTCACGCTAAAGAACACAGCCGTATTCTGTTTGTTCTTTGTTCTCTGCTTGGATCAGCACCGCACAAAAATCACTGCCAAAATCATTGATATTTTGCATTGCAGCTTTTCTGTGGAGGTTTTGCTGGGTCTACTGCTGCTCTGTGTACAACTCCATTTGATGTTGTTAAGACGCGAGTACAGTTACAGGTAACATAAAGCATGCTTTATATCTGTAAATCATTATCATCAATTAAATTGCTTATCTGGTTTTACTGGCTGAAGTCACACGTTGGTCTTTTCAAAAGTATAGTTGCTGGTATGTTATTGGAAGTAAACTATTGGTTACAGCAGAACTAAACTGAGTATTACCCATGTTTGTTAGGCACTCAGCCCTATTAGCAAGTATGATGGGGTTCTTCATGCGCTCAAAGAAATTTTTCAGCACGAAGGCTTGCAGGGTCTTTACAGGTACGGTCATTTCCGCACCATATTGGCCATGCTATTGAATTTAGGTTCTTATACAAGTACTCAAATTATTAAGCAACATATGTATTTCCAGGGGTTTGGCTCCAAGGTTGGCTATGTATATATCTCAAGGGGCTATATTTTTCACATCCTATGAGTTCCTCAAAACAATTATGTTTTCTGAACAAGAGCTTCATGCAAGGAACTTTTGATCACAGAATGATGCAGCGTGGTTCAGGAACACTTAAAGCATCTGAGTTTCAAGAACAATCTCATGAACTAAGTGGGATGGTTCTATTAGGCTAGAGGATTGTAGACTTGTGGTTACTGAACCAAACATTTCTTAGGTCTTGATAGTAAACATTTGTACAAGTGTACATTACATTTTTGGATACATAGGCAACCAAACTGGTGAGCAGCCATTTTTGAGTAGAAATCACATCTAGGAAAGCAAAATTTTGTATCATCAACACAGTTTGTAAATTCCCTTACAAGCAACCTGTGACTGGATGTGCATCCTAATTCCTGATATTGAATTCTGACAGAAAAAAAGAAGGCAAGTCTTTTTTTACTTGAATATATCTGCTGCACAGCTGCACTTACATACATACTTACATCCACTCAAAGGAAAGAGAAGTAGTACTTGAAGGTAGCCCTCCTAGCAGCTCTCTCTGTGTTGCTGCCTTGTGCATATGCATGAAACACAAAGGAAATACGAAGCGCAAAAAGGTTCAAGAAGCGACCGACGGCGCGTGCGGCCTCGTCGCGCCAGCGTGCCGCGCGAACCTGACCGAGAAGTTGGCCTCGCACTCGCCGTCGCCGAGGCCCCCGTTGTCGAAGTTCTGGGAGTAACCGAGCGGGTCGTAGTTGAGCCCGCTGGCGCTGAGGACGTACGTCCGCAAGCGCCGGCGAGGAAGGCCGATCCACCTAAGCCTCCGCCACAGCGCCGCCAGGCCGAGGCCGAACCGTCCCCAGCAGGACGCGGCCGCGCGGCGGCTGCACGACGCGCGCGTCGCCGCCGCCGCCCCCTCCTCTCCCATCGCCCGGAAGCGTATGCGAAGCCGAGGAGAGGCGGCCGCAGAGGACAGCACCGCGTTCGCGCGCGCGCGCGTTCCAGTCAGTGTGACAGGAGGTGTGGACTGTGGAGTGGAGAGCGTTGCGCCGTATGGCCCGTAGCGGCGTCACGGCCGCGGCATGGGGTCCCTGCAATTGATGCTTAGTTCCTGGAATCTTGGTCGACGTGGGGAATCACCTGCACTGGATGCGCTAGTATATGTGTTGCAAGTTGGCAACAATTGAACGTGAGACAATTAGACAAAAAACGAGCCTGGAGTCGGTAATTCTCTCTGGCAAAATTGGCATCCGCGCGGGCGCAATAAGACAGTTACATTTATCTTGTGATGTGAACATTTGTGGCTTCTCGTTGGTGCTTGCAGATGGAGACAAACTTGAAAATGACCCTTTTCCCCCCTCTTCTGATGAAATGAAGTGCATTTTTCCTACACGGGACAAGAAACCGTTTATCGGATACGGGAGGCAGAAATTGACTCCAAGTCCAAGCTGACGAACTGAACCAACGTACTGACATACATCTCCAATTCTCTCCATCTCCCTCCTTTACCGTCACCGTGAGAAGAGCTCCGGGCAGCGCGGATCTTGGAGGGGCACCTTGCGTGGGTGTCAGACAAGCACGTCGTGCGCAGAGCGGTATCCATCTCGACGCAGCACAGGAACAATTAAAACCAAGTGAAACCCCGTGCATTATTTTGAGAATTTAGTATGATAACAATAAAAAAAATAACGTGTAATATAGCTAGATAACATCAGATTAAGTAAATTAATATGGTTTATGCTAATTTAAATTTAAATAGTATGTAGAATGGTGATTTAAACATAAAAAACAAGGTGATATGACTTTATGGAAGAAGAAAAGTAGGAGATAGTTTGGACTGTAGATTAAACATCTAAAGGCTAAAAACAATTAATGTGATATGACTTAATTAGAGGAAAAAAAAGAAAGATAATTTGGACCATAGATTAATCATTTAAGCACTAACTAAGTGAGGATGAACTATATAAGTATATAGAATATCATAAAAAATAATAAAGATATACATTGAAACATTATATGAATTATGTTGGTTGATAATTTAACATGTATGTATTTGAAAAGCTCTTAAATTATAAAAACTATAAAGATATAACATATTTGTATGATGTTTAAATATGATGATTGTTAGTGGATGATAATGTGGCATCTTGTTAATTAGTGGATTAGTGGATGATGATGTGGCATCTTTGCATGTTAAGCTTAAGGAGTTAGTGGGGGATAACTTTATAGAAGATAGGATTAGGAACAGGTATAACTCAGGATGTAAATTAGGCCTGGTTTAGATCCAAACTTTTTCTTCAAACTTTCAACTTTTCCATCCCATCAAAACTTTTCTATGCACACAAGCTTCTAACTTTTCCGTCACATCATTCCAATTTCAACCAAACTTCTAATTTTAGCGTGAACTAAACACACTCTAAGTGAACTGAAGTCAGAACTCAGAACATTTTCAGAGGTTACCTGACAGTAGATGAGATAATGAGATATGCTGAACAAAACGTTCATGTAAAAAACGAACTCAGATATTGAGAGCTGGCATGTACTGCAGACTAACACCACCAAGAAGAAAAACGAGAAAAAAACTGAGATTAGCTCTGCATTAGGCTTTCTTCGGTTTAGCATGTTCTTTTCTTTTTTGTAATGGTTACATTTCTGTTAATGAAAATGGGGGGTTACACCCTTGATTAAAAAAAAAAGGTTCATGCCAAGTTGTTGTTGTGCCAACCTTCCTAACAAAAAACATTTTTGTTAGCCATTCTGCAAGCTGAGAGATGCATGGAGCTGAAGTCTAAACCACACGATGTTAATTACAGCCCATACAACTATAGGATATGGATTTTCATCCCTCGAGAGGATGTCCTCTCATTGTTTGCATGTCATTTAAGTAGTTATAATATTTTTTAAAAAAAATTGACAACATAGATTAATATGAAATATATCATTCCACAAAAATGCAAGCCTAAATTTAACTTCTATAAGTTGCAAAAAAAAGAACAAAATAAACTAAAAATAGTAATCGCACATTCAATTCGCAGCTATATTTGTTATTTTTGTTACAACTTTAGAAGTTAAATTTTAACTTGCATGTTTGTAAAGTGATATATTTCATATTAATCTATCTTACCATTTTTTTAAAAAAAATTTATGACTAGATGGCATGCACGAAATGAGGGATTCCCTCGAGGGATAAAATCACTTTCTCACAAGTCACAACTTTACATGTACTGTATGTTGGTAGCTTATTAGCGTGCATGACTGCATGGGTATGTAGGGTAGATCACCCATTAATTCATCGTGGATCGAACTTACATACGAAAAGGTAAACACGAAGTGTGACCACTCCATATGAAATAAATGTTGTGAATACAAGAACGATGCTTGTTCGCACTTAAGAGCTCTCAAGTAGGAGCAGATACAAATGCTCTCAAGTAGGAGCAGATACAAATCAAGAATTGAGCTTGGGTATTAAAAGCGAGGAGATAACTGCATTTATGCTGTCATTACTCATTTCCATAGTGTGCAGAATTATCTACCATTTCCTTCCTTCACAATTTCGCATGTGGATGAAGGCATGAAGCTCAAGCGAAGCGTGACGGAACTTGTGGCCGCAAGCTAGGAACCTTAATGGTTGCTATATTAAGGCTGTTCATCGTGCAGGCACAAGTTCATCTCCATGCATTCCAGTAAAGACCATTTTTAGGACAAACACATCGGTTTCAAAAAAAAAAAATTAGGACGAACAGAGCAATCTCTTCGCATGCAACAGCGGCCGCCATTTTCCCTAGATTCACCTTCCATTGGTAGCTTGGTTGTTCACCAATGGCGCACTTAGGGGCGGTCCTCTGCATCCGTGTTGCTCTCGTCGTCGTCCTCCTCCCGTCGCTTCTGGCGACCGTCGCCGTCGCGCACAACGACACCGGCGAGCACAAGAACTACCTCATCATCGTGCGCAAGCCGTACGAGTACGACCACAATGTGTACAAGACCGTGTCGAGCTGGCACGCGTCGCTGCTGGCGTCCGTGTGCGACACGGCCAAGGAGGAGCTCGCCACCGACCCCGGCGCCGAGACGCGGCTCATCTACTCCTACCGCAACGTCGTCAATGGCTTCTGCGCCCGCGTCACCAGGGAGGAGGTGTACGAGATGGCCAAGAAGGACTGGTTCGTGAAGGCCATCCCGGAGAAGACGTACAAGCTGATGACCACGTACACGCCGAAAATGGTCGGGCTCACCGGCGCCCCGGCGGCCTACCATGGCGGCTTGTGGAACAGGAGCAACATGGGCGAAGGGATGATCATCGGGGTGCTTGACGACGGCATCGCCGCCGGGCACCCGTCGTTCGACGCGGCCGGGATGGGGCCGCCGCCGGCCAGGTGGAAGGGCCGGTGCGACTTCAACAGCTCAGTGTGCAACAACAAGCTCATCGGCGCGCGGTCCTTCTTCGAGTCGGCGAAGTGGAAGTGGAGAGGGGTCGACGACCCGGTGCTCCCCGTCTATGAGCTGGCGCACGGCACGCACACCTCGAGCACGGCGGGCGGCAACTTCGTGCCCGGGGCGAACGTGATGGGCAACGGGTTCGGCACGGCGGCCGGCATGGCGCCACGCGCGCACCTCGCGCTCTACCAGGTGTGCTCCGAGGACAGAGGCTGTGATCGGGATGACATATTGGCGGCGATGGATGACGCCGTGGACGAGGGCGTCGACGTGCTCTCCATCTCGCTCGGCGATGACGAGGCCGGAGATTTCGCCGGGGATCCCGTCGCGCTCGGGGCGTACACAGCCATCATGAGGGGCGTCTTTGTCAGCTCGTCGGCCGGGAACAACGGCCCGAACCCATTGACGGTCTCCAACGAGGCGCCGTGGCTGCTCACCGTGGCGGCGTCCACGACCGGCCGGAAGTTCGTGGCCACCGTGAAGCTTGGCACCGGGGTCGAGTTCGACGGCGAGGCGCTCTACCAGCCACCCAACTTCCCGAGCACGCAGTGGCCGCTGATAGCGGACACCCGCGGTGACGGCACGTGTTCCGACGAGCACCTAATGAAGGAGCACGTCGCCGGGAAGCTAGTCGTGTGCAACCAGGGTGGCAACTTGACCGGACTCCGGAAAGGGAGCTATCTACACGATGCCGGCGCCGCCGGGATGGTTCTCATCGGCCCTGAGTTCATGGGCTCAATGGTCCAACCCAAGTCGCACATCCTCCCCGTGGCGCAAATCGTCTACTTGTCGGGGGAGGAGCTCAAGGCCTACATGAAATCCACGAAGAGTCCGACGGCGGCGCTGATCTACAAAGGAACAGTGTTCGGCGACCGCAAGACGCCGGAGGTGGCGCCCTTCTCGTCCCGGGGGCCGAGCAGGCAGAACCAGGGGATCCTCAAGCCCGACATCACCGGCCCCGGGGTGAACATCATCGCCGGCGTGCCCGTGACCTCGGGCCTCGCCACGCCGCCCAATCCACTGGCGGCGAAGTTCGACATCATGTCAGGCACGTCCATGGCGGCGCCGCACCTCAGCGGGATCGCCGCGCTGATCAAGAAAGCGCACCCGAAGTGGTCACCGGCGGCGATCAAGTCGGCCATGATGACAACGGCCGACACGTTGGACCGCCGGCGGAGGCCGATAACCGACCAGAAAGGCAACAATGCCAATATGTTCGGCCTCGGCGCCGGCTTCATCAACCCGACGAAGGCCATGAACCCGGGCCTCGTGTACGACCTGACAGCGCAGGACTACGTCCCTTTCCTTTGCGGGCTCGGGTACAGCGACCACGAGGTGAGCTCCATCATCCACCCGGCGCCATCGGTGTCCTGCAAGCAGCTGCCGGCCGTCGAGCAGAAGGACCTCAACTACCCGTCCATCACCGTCTTCCTCGACCGGGAGCCCTACGTGGTGAGCGTCAGCCGCGCCGTGACGAACGTCGGGCCCCGCGGCAAGGCGGTGTACGCGGCGAAGGTGGATATGCCGGCGACGGTGTTGGTGACGGTGACGCCGGACACGCTCAGGTTCAAGAAGGTGAACCAGGTGAGGAAGTTCACGGTCACCTTCAGGGGCGCGAATGGCGGCCCGATGAAGGGCGGCGTCGCCGAGGGGCAGCTCAGGTGGGTCTCGCCGGACCACGTGGTGCGCAGCCCGATCGTCGTCTCCGCCCAAAAGTTCTTGAACGGTAACACGAGCTCCTCCGATCACGCGGGCCATTGATTGTTGATTACGTAGCTTTGCCAGTAAATGGGGTACTTGATTAGACCCCCAAGGATTATAAACTGCCCCCTGATGATTGTCCTCGAAAAAAGATGAAGAGAAAGACAAAATAACTCTATTAGAAGATGGACCAAGATGCGAAGGGATTGCGTGGCCGGAAAAAAAAAAAAGCAACATGGGATTCTTTTTCCATGATGGCCATGGCCTGGATATGTGCCCCTGAACCAAACTGCTTCGATATTGGGCTTGATGGGTTTGTTACGGATTTAGACCTTTATACAATTAGCATAGCTAAAATTTCGATCTTATTGTTGTGGGTTGGATATTGGATGATAGCACTACGGCACTACCTTTGTGGATAAGGGATATATCTCACACACAATTCATTCAAATTTAGACATTTAGTAGTAGATAAAATGGTGAAAAAAATTACATTAACGGCACACAAATTTTGATAAGATTTTCTTTTGTTCTTTTGAAAGGTCTCCGCGGGGGTAGATCTCCAATGAACACGCACATTCACAAAATTTGATAATAATTTTTTAGAAGTCAACCAATACAATATACTCGCACAGAGTCATTGATGCAAATAGAAAAAAAAAAACAAAAACACCAAGAAACTGCTCGCCAAGGACGCCGTGCTGATAGAGAAAATTTCCACGCGTATGTACTTAGGAAAGTTCCTTTTTATTAAGAAAATAGGATAAAAACTTTGTCTCGTATATATTAATAAACCATAAGTATTCAAAAACATGTTGTTTAGCCATGAAGTCAACTTCTGGATTGGTCGATTGGTCACTTCGGCTCTACCGTTGTGGCTCCACCGTTGTGTGCTTCGCTATAGGCTCTGTTCGGCTGCACTTAATTTCATTGTTGTGCAGCCAACACAAACAATGTGTTGTGTCTGTAGCAGCAGCTGTATCGGCCAGCCAAACAATCCCATAGAGCGTCAAAAAACCATACCGAAACATTCTCAGTGCGCTAAATTTTTTTTCATGAAAAACAGTCTAAATAATCATTGTCGATGATAAATAATAATCCCTTCACCGTTTGGACTGAACAATATAGTTAGTTTCGCTATTGGTGATAATATGTTATACACTTCTAGCGTATTTTTAGAGCAATCATACAAATACACTTTCTAAAAGGAAAATTGCGGATCTCGGATAGTATCCATTTCGATTTTGGAATGCGTTGAAGCTCCAACGGGTCACAGGGTTTTGACAAGGAGAGAGTCGACCTTTATTTATTTCTTTCATTTATTGCCAATATAACACGCGCTTTGCAGCTTGCTCGGCAGTCCTGGTCAAAGTCGCCTCATATTTAATTTATCTTTCACAACGCTTTTGCAGTTTTAATGTATTTTTACTGGCACAAACGTACAAGCAAATATCAGGTTGCAAAATTATTTTCTATTAACCAAATGGGCCAGCTGCAAACCTACAAGTTGCAATAGAGTGTGTTCGTTTGAATCGTCAAGTCCTCGTTTTCTTGCAAGGTTAGGACGCGCAAGACTGTACTACGCAGGATGTTGGCCTGCTGCCTTGCCCTGTCGTGTCGTACAGTACATAGCATGTTGCGAAACTTTCTCTTGAATTGCCCCTACGCGTTGTTAGTACATTATTATTATTTTTTCGGTTTGAAACATCGGATGTATCGTTATTTTGCTTAGGTCATAAGGTCATTACAACTGCCAGGTTCCAGCAGTCGAAAAATCGGGTGGCAGACGACTTTTGTTTGCTAAAATACAACATATTGAGGATCAGCCGATCATGATGTTTTGCTGCGATTGCAAGATAATGATCGCCGGATGTTTAGCTGCGATTCCAAGATAATGATGGCCGCTTGCTTGCACGTTGGCTTCTAATCTAATGTAAAGTACAGGATTAATCTTCCTGACGACGATAATGTGCACGTCGCAGCGTTCATTAACGGAAAAATAGCATGATATCCAATGGGTAAATTGATCCGTATATAAATACGACGGCATTTGCAAAACCAGAAAAACAGTTATACAAGAAATACAATTATACTCAATTCTAAAATACCTTTTAATCCCTTTAGTGTAGTAGCAAATTCGGCATGAGACAAATTCGGTTCCTAGTCATCTATCATCCAATGCAAATTGCCGCGGTCCCAGCGAAACAAGACCTTTTTTTAATTTTAAAAAAACAGCGACCCAGAGTTGACTTAGCTTTAGGCACCGTTTATTCTTCGAATTATCTCATCGAACTCATCCCTGGTTCTTAACCGCCGCTAATGCCAACATATCTCCTCCCTCCCCGCTCGACTCGACTGTCTCCGTCTCACCGGCAATCCGGCGGCAATGGACGGCGTCGGCCTCGGCGTGCACAGGCGGTGGGACACGTCGGGGAGCGGGTCGCAGTACAGCTTCAGGACGTCGGTAAGCAGCGTCGCGGAGATATCCACCGAGGTGGGGGTGGAAGTGAGCCCGCCGCCGCCGCCGCTGGCGGCGGCGGCGGACAAGGTGTTTGTCGCAGTCGCCGCGGACGTGAAGTACGGCAAGAGCGCCTTGCAGTGGACGCTGCAGAACCTGGCCAAGGATGGCGCCAAGGTCGTGATTGCTCATGTCCACTGCCCCGCGCAGATGATCCCCATGAGTAAGCCTCCAGTCCTCAATCATTTGTTTGATGATCTGCGTCACAGGAGAGAGATTTAAGATTGGATACCTTTTAATTTCGGTAATTTAGCGACGAGTTTGGTTATTTGGATCCCGCTTCCGTTTTGAATCTATGGTTAGCAGTTTAATAATGGATATGATTCGTTGACATTGGCGACTTGAAAGCCGAATGCCAGTGCAAACTATGCATACTCCCTTTCTGGCTTTCTTACAGTACAATAGACATTTGCACGCCCAAACGTTGCTTGACGAAGTTTCTCATGAGTTGTATGATTGTATCTGCCGGCAATGCTGACTTCGTGCAGATATTCTAGAAAATACATACAATTATTTGTTCATGTAGCATTATTGGTCCTGTAACTACTTCCAAAATCCTATTTTGCCGTCGCTTCGTGGAAAAAAGTAACCTAGGGTGTATTGTTAAAATGCAAGAATTTCTATACTAATTTCAATATACCTCTACGTGGGACTATTACCAAATCCCAACAACACTACTACACATGCATCAAAGGTCATCCTCTTATTGCCCAGGGTAACAAGTTCAGAAGCAATACGTTAATATTTGCAAACGATGCAACTGGTTCACTTCTGATTTCTGACTTCTAGTGCGATCAGAAATCCTCCATGATTTGTTTGTCACCAGTGCGATCAGAAATCCTCCATGATTTGTTTGTCACCTTTTAAATAGCTTGTCCTTGATTCCTATTGTTTCAGTGGGGGCAAAAGTTCATTATACCAAGATGAATACAAAACAGGTGAACGACTATAGGAACAAGGAGAGAGAAAAGGCAGAGGAGAAACTAGATGAATATCTTCTGATATGCAGAAAACTGAAGGTGTTCTTCTCAACCACTCTTATGTCTTTCCTAATGAGCAATCAACAAAGTAATAAATTACCTAATACCCAATTATGCATTCTACTAATATTACTCGAGAAGATATATCAATATATATCTCAGGAATAATTTGATCAATATTTCGTTTTCTCAGGTCAGCTGTGAGAAACTAATAATTGAGGAGGACGACATTGCTAAAGGCCTTACAGATCTTGTTGCCCTTCATGGCGTCACCAAGCTTGTCATGGGAGCAGCAGCAGACAAACACTACTCAAGGTGACCACAACCTCATAAGTTTTTTTTTTCTGATGACTAGCACACACATTGCACATTTAAAACTGTTTCACAAAATATTGTTTCTTCCCTGATAAGTACTACCTCCGTTTCAGGTTATAAGACTTTCTAGTATTGTCTACATTCATATAGATGTTAATGAATCTAGGCACACATATATGTCTAGATTCATTAACATATATATATATATGAATGTATACAATGCTAGAAAGTCTTATAATATGAAACGGAGGAAGTAGCATTCAGTGTTTGCCGCTAGCAAGAATTGAGAAACAGAAAGTCCCCTCAAAAAAAGAAATGAGAAACAGAATGGTCTGTAAAGTCTTTAACAGTTTCGAACCTGGATGTTTTCCCAATATGCAGGAAAATGAACACACCTAAGTCCAAGACAGCACTCAAGATATTGGAAGCAGCAGATCCTTCATGTAAGATATGGTTTACCTGTAAAGGACATCTGATATGTACAAGGTAAGGTTAAGCCAAGCGGGTCAAAGCAGTCTTACGATAGATGGTTTTCAGTGATACTAACATCAGAAAAGCACATTGAACAACACGTGAAAAATAGCTAAGCTTACCCGTCAACATTGCAGGGAAGCAAATACAACCGTTCCTGCAATACCACCATCACCTGCACACACAGTTGCATCAACATTGTCATCAAGCAGCATTTCCAGCCGTATGAGATCAATGTCATTGCACCCGTCAGAGAGTGAAGCATCAAGCTCAAGCGGAAGTCCAAGGCACAATCTGAACAGATCAAGAACAGAAGTGGCAAAGTATCCCTCACAAGGATCTGGCACTGCACCATCTCAGTTATTTGGACATTCAGATCAAGATGTCAATGACCAGCCAACAAGAACAGCAATGGGTTCTATAGATTCCTGGGATGAATTTGAGAGATCGCAAAACTCCTGCTACGATTCATCAAGAAATAGTGATACAGTTAGGGTCTCTGGATCAGCAATGCAGCAGCCCATGTATGAACCTGATGATGACCATTTTGTATCTCCTCGTAAACTGGTACATATCGCCTGATGTACTGTGCAAGTTGAAAAACATAAGAGTAGGACTCTTCTCAATGAAATGTAACACATAACTGAACTTTTTGTGCAACACAGGAGAATTCAGGCGATGATGCAGACATATATGGTAGACTCCAAGAGGCTCTTAGTGAAACTCAAGACCTGAAGAGAGAGACATACGAAGAATCAACGAAACGTCGGAACGCCGAAAGAAATCTGATTTCAGCTCTTCAAAAGGCAAGTCATTTTGCTTCAAAAGTCCATAATTCATACTGTAAAATAAAAAGATAGAACTTATCTTACAGGTCAAAGAGTTGGAGAACCTGTATCAGAAGGAAGTCATGCATCGGAAAATAACCGAAGAGGCACTGGAGAAACAGATACAGGAGACAGAAGAAACGGAAAGGCACTGCAATGCATTATATGACAAGCTGCATGATGTGGAAGAACAGAAGCTCATGGTGGAGCAGCACATAACTGAAATGGAGGCAGTTTTAAAAGAACGCGAAGATAGGCTGCATGATGTAGAAGAGCAGAAATTCACGGTGGAGCAGCGCATAACTGAAATGCAGGCAGTTTTAAAAGAACACAAAGATAAGCTGCATGATGTAGAAGAGCAGAAACTCATGGTGGAGCACCGTATAACTGAAATTCGTTCAGTTTTAAAAGAACGCGAAGAGAAGCTCGCAGAGAGCAAGTATCTACTCCAAGTGCTCCAAGCAGATAAAGAGAAGCTACAACAAGAGCGAGATGCCGCAGTAAGTGAATCTCAAGACTTGCGCCTGAAGAACAAACAGAGAATTTCCATGCCGGGTGAAGATCTAAACACCGAGTTCTCCTCTTATGAGCTTGAACAAGCGACCAGAGGCTTCGATCAAGAACTCAAGATCGGCGAGGGCGGTTTTGGGAGCGTCTACAAAGGCACACTCCGCAACACAACTGTGGCTATCAAGCTGCTGCACCCACATAGCATGCAAGGTCAATCAGAATTCGACCAGGAGGTAATCCAGTTCATCAGATCACTCACATAACTCCATCAAATCAAGTTGGCAACCATGGCTAACCAAGCAATTGACACCATTATTGCAGATTGCTGTTCTCAGTAGAGTACGACATCCAAACCTCGTCACTTTGATCGGCTCTTGCAGGGAGGCATTTGGCTTGGTGTACGAATTCCTCCCCAAAGGCAGCCTCGAGGACCGCCTGGCCTGCCTGAACAACACGCCGCCATTGACATGGCAGGTGCGCACCAGGATCATCTACGAGATGTGCTCGGCGCTGAGCTTCCTCCACTCGAACAAGCCGCACCCGATTGTCCACGGCGACCTGAAGCCGGCGAACATCCTCCTCGACGCCAACTTCGTCAGCAAGCTGGGCGACTTCGGCATCTGCCGGCTCCTGATACAGACGAACACCGGCGCCGCCGCCGCCGCCACCACCCGGTTGTACCGGACGACCACACCGAAGGGGACCTTCGCGTACATGGACCCGGAGTTCCTCACCACCGGCGAGCTGACGCCGCGCTCCGACGTGTACTCCCTCGGAATCATCATCCTGCGGCTGCTGACCGGGAAGCCTCCCCAGAAGATCGCCGAGGTTGTGGAGGACGCCATCGAGAGCGGCGGGCTGCACTCCATCCTCGATCCCTCCGCGGGGAGCTGGCCGTTCGTGCAGGCCAACCAGCTCGCGCACCTCGGCCTGCGGTGCGCCGAGATGAGCCGGAGGCGCCGGCCGGATCTCGCGACCGACGTGTGGAAGGTCGTCGAGCCCCTCATGAAGGCCGCGTCGCTGACCGCCGGGAGGCCGTCGTTCGTGGCCCGGCCGGACGACTCCCCGCCGCCGTCCTACTTCGTCTGCCCGATCTTTCAGGTAGCAAAAAATCCGTGATTAAATTATTCCTGAAAAAAATCGAGGCAAAATTTCCTCGTGATTGGATGATGGCTTCCATCGGATGCTCTAATCAGCTGAAGAAAGAGTCAAAATTTTCAAACTTAATTTTAAAATTAATTTTAAGATATTTTAAACGTAATTTTTTATTGACTTTTAAATTATCAAGAATATATATATATATATATATATAAGTTTACCCAACAATTTATTTTTATTTTCTAAAAAGCCAAAGGAATATGAGTAAACTATGGGGGATGATTCAAACTCGTGTTGGGATGGATGTGAAAGCAGGAGGAGATGAACGATCCCCACATCGCGGCGGACGGGTTCACGTACGAAGCCGAGGCCATCAAGGGGTGGCTCGACAGCGGCCACGACACGTCGCCGATGACGAACCTGACGCTCGAGCACCGCGAGCTCATCCCGAACAGGGCGCTCCGCTCGGCCATCCTCGAGTGGCAGCAACAGCGTCAACGGCATCAGCCGCAAGAGGAGGACGACGACTGTACATGAGCAATCTCTCATCAATCATCACTCACCGCAGTTGATATCCTCCATACCTGGCGCTTCGCTTCGTCCTGACTGTAGATCCTGCACATACATTAGCATTAGCTTTGCTTGGGTTGAAATTTGAAGATCCAAGATTGCTCGAGAAAAGGGGAAGTTTACCCTGTTCGTCTTTTGTGCTCGTTAATTTGATTTGCGATTTCCGCTGTGGAGTACAGACATTTGCAGTTGGTAATCCTACCCAATTTTACCCATGTTGAATCTGGTTCTGATCCGTCTTCCCCTGTATATAAGTGACGAACAGCGAAAAGAGATGTGCACGGAGGCGGCGGCGGGCGGCCTCCCGTGATCGTGAGGACGTGAGGCCTGATCCATCCCGGTGCACAGTGGCTGGCCCGTGAACAGTGGCCTTAGTCACTGAGAAAAGTTTAATCCCACAAAATTCGTGGCCCATGAATGCTAACGCATCGGCCCATCCATGCCTCTGCTTCGGGAGGTGGCCCAAGCAAAACTTTTTTATATAGGCCCAAGCAGAACTGTTCGTTGTACTTGTGTTGCGTGCTCGCTTCATTGCTTGACGCTGGTCTTAAACTATAAACTGCATCAACTTGTCACGTCCACGTCGAATGCTCGGTAATTTCCAAGTTACTCAGCTTGGGTCCACGCGGCAAACATCGTCCCTGCATACAGTAGTATACAATACATCTCCCTTTAGCGACATACGCGCGTATGAGCTACGTTTGCTTGCTTGATCACGCCAACGCGAGCGCAAATGGCATCTCGTCCCACCGTTGTGTAAAGTCATAGCGTCGACTTTGGCTTCTGGTCTTCAAAGAAAAAAACAACTTTGCGTTATTAACTTTGTGAGTCAATGCATGAAATGAAAAATATATTCGGTGCTGACTACTTCTGCTTTCTTCTGTAACTTGATCTCGAAATTTCCATTCATGAAACGGCTGGGCAGTTACTCTGCAGCTGCATGGTCTTGTGCTTCTCATTTCTCAACGTCAGGAAGCAGCAATGGATAGCGACGGCGAAGAGTACGACGCGATGTGGAGCGCTCGGTGCAGCGTCAGCTCGTCGGCCGGCTCTCTGCAGGACGCCGGCGACCAGTGGGACGAGCAGAGCCTGGCCGCCGGCGAGGACAAGGTGTTCGTGGCCGTCGACGAGGACGTCGAGCACGGCAAGAGCACATTCCTTTGGGCGCTGCAGAACCTGTCCACGGACGGGGCCAATATTGTAGTTGCTCATGTCCACAGCCCTGCACAAACTCTCAGTAAAGGTAAGCATCTTGCTTCTCCTGCTTTGACAGCTACAATCACCTGGTGCAATTCAGTTTACATTTCTCGATGGGGACAAAAGTTCACTGTACCAGAATGAAGCCTGAAGAGATCAGCGAGTACCTGATGTTGGCGAAGGAAGAGGCCGAGAAGAACCTAGATGAATATGCTCTGATAGCGAAAAGCACAGGAAAAGATATGAAGGTAAAATTGTCTCATTACTTTTTTTGTTAGTGCTTGTGAAAAAAATTACTTGCATCAAGTAACGTGGGGACGAAATGATGTTTATCAGTCAAAATATAATCAATATGAGCATGAACATTAATCCTACTATTTCAGACTGATTGTCAGAAAGTACTAATTGACATGGACGATGTCGCAAAAGGACTCGAGGAACTTATTACCCTTCATGGCATCACCAGGCTTGTCATGGGAGCAGCCGCAGACCAACACTACTCAGAGTATGGACCACATCTGCCTAATGTAGCGTTTTTCCTGTAATGTTTTCAAGAAAATTTTACTATTTCTCATCGCAAATAAAAAAAAAGGGGAGAGAGATAGAGAGAGAAATTTATTCCTGGAACTGGAGGCTCTGGTACTTAAGACGGTGTATCGGACTATGTGGATAACTTAGTACTTGAAGCTCTGAAGATTTATCAGGACTAGGCTATCAGCGTCAGCAAATTAATGAACTAAAACTTCAGTCGTAAATTTATTTCATTCTACACCAGCATCAGGAGTCCAGGACTAATCAAACTACATAGGTAGCAGGAATAGATAGAACATTTTATGAGATGAATCCATACTAAATATATGTGCACAAACCTTATGATATTATAACCTGTAGGGAAATGAAAGAACCAAATTCCAAGATAGCCCTCAAGCTGATGGAGACTGCATCCCCATCATGCAAGATATGGTTTACCTGCAATGGCCATCTGATATGCACAAGGTAAAGTCAAGTGAATGGTCATTTGCTACCTGACTTTTTGAACTTCATAGAGCTTAGTGCATCTCATGCATAATAGTACTTCGTACAGCATGCGGAGAATTGTAGGACACATAATGCTACATTTGAGTATCTTTACTTCTGTCAACGAATTGAACTAGGATACCAGTGTATTGCACTCTTACCAAGAAACCAGGAAAATGACTAAAATCCATTAGTTGTGTGCACTTACAGGGAACCCAATGAAAACCTTCTTGCAATATATGTGCCGCCTGCACAAAGCAACACGGTACCATTGTCAATGTGCAGCATTTCAAGCCAAATGAGTTCGATAGAGCTGAAGAAAGAAGCACCAAGCTCAGAAGAATATACTTTAAGATCATTGGCTCAATCGGCAATGAGTGATTGGGACTACATTTTCGGGGGTGACTAAACTGACTATCCTAACATATTTAGAATTTCTAATTTACACCCTTGCAAAAAAAAGGTTATATTGGATTTTCTTGCTTAAATGATTTATGCATACAGCATCAAATTGTTGTTTTACATGAATTCAAGGGGCCAAAAAATGATATGTAGTTTCAATAGTTCTCCCAAAATATAGTTTCAAGAATCCAGAGGTTTCAATAATTTATAGCTTAAATTTAATACTCTCTGCAGTCATGAATATTTGATGTTGAAGACAATATTCAGTCAAACTTATAAAATTCCGACCATCGATAGTTTCTCAAATGGCTAGTTTGAATTCTGAAAACAAAAGAAATGGTATGCTAGAATTCGCCTTGAGAAGAACTATCATAATATCATAAACTTATTAGATTTTATAAACTTGTTATAATATAAATTAATGGTCATAATTTTAGAAGTTTAACCGATCTTGCCCTAAACGTCAAATATTCATGACCAGAGGTACTAGTATGTTTCTTCTTTGCAAGCTATATTCCTGATCTGTGATGAAATTACTGAAGCTTACTACTAGGATTTATACCTCAGAAGTCATAACTTAAACAGTAGGACATGTAGAAGCAGTGGGTCAAAATAATCGTTTTTAGTTATTTAGAACAACCGTGTTAATCATATATCTGCAGAAAGAAAAATGAACTCCTACATGAGGAGAACAGATGATTTGAGCCATGCTGTTGGCATTTCTCTTCTAAACGTAGTCATGCTAATCTCTATTTTATTCATAATAATGAACTCCAGATTGGGGAAGGACAGGGTATGGTTCATTAAGGACTGATGATGCAATAAGTATTCCTGAAGCCACAACTCTAGCTGCGATTGTTGACGATACAAACAAACAAAGATCAGTGATGCACTCTCCTCAGGAATCTGACAGTGTCAATTTCTCATCACCAGCTTGTGATCCCGTAAGACTACTAATGCTAAATCATTAAGTTACCAAAGTAACTAGCTGTAAGTAAATCTCTCTTAATGATTGGTGGCATGCAGCAACAAGAAGAAGAAGAACCAAATTTAGATGAAGACATGCATGATATACTTAATGAGGCATGCACTCGAGCTGAACTACTCAAGAAAGAAGTTGATGGTGAATCTAGCAAGCGTCGCAAAGCTGAAATGGATCTACTTATAGCTCTTCAGAGAGTAAGCTTTGTTTTATTGGCTGACTCTGTAGCTTGTATATTTGTAGAGAAAAATAAATAAAGTAACCCTCCTTTGGCCAGCGTACCAAATGTGACATGCCTCCAAAATACTGCTTAAATTAATTTCTCTTTTTAGGACAAGTATAACTAAATTAGTCTTACAGGTTCAAGAGTCAGAAAAATCATATCTACAGGAGGTGAACCAGCGGAAAGAAACTGAGAGGACACTTGCAAGACAGAGGCTGGAGATCGATGAAATGAAAAGGCGACACAATACATTATATGATGAACTACAGGATACAAAGAAACAGAAGCTTCTGCTGGAGCAACATATATCTGAGATTAAATCTGCTGCAAAAGATTATGTACAAGAGATTACTGAATATTTTATACAAGAATCATGTGAGGAAGCCAAGAAATTCCAAAAGATCAAGATGGATCTGCTTGCGATGCTTCAAAGAGTAAGCACTTTGGTTCAGGACTCAGGAGCTTTTAATTTTTCCAAAAAAAAATTGACCAATTATCTAAAAAATACGTGACGAAAATCCAAACTATTATTACAGGTTAAAGATGTGGAGAATTTAAACCGAAATGAAAAGATGCAGAGGAAAGATATGGAGGAAAAGATTGCAAGACAGAGGATGGAGATTGAAGAAACAAAAAGGCAGCGAGATGAATTATACCATGAGTTAAAAGATGTAAAGGAACAGAAGCTCTGTCTGGAACGACTTGTAAGTATGGCAGTATGACTCAGATTCAGCATATTGGTTTAATTCTTGCAGACGATCTTACTGAAAACTTTATATAGGATTCATCTAAAGAAACTAAGAGGAGAAGAAAAGCTGAGAGCGAGATGCTCTCCGCTCTTAAGAAGGTAAGATACTAAGACGTTTGTTTCAGTGGTCTGTACTCAGTACTATGAATTGCAGGTTTGTCATGAAAATGTGGAGTACTCTTACAGGTTCATGACCTGGAGCATCAGTATCTGAATGAGTTGAAAAGGCGGGAAGCGGTGGAGGAGACATTTGCACGGCAAAAAGAGGAAATTCAAGAAACGAAAAGAGAGCTAAACAAGATACGTAGCAGACATATGACAGAGATCAAAGCTCATGAAGAAAAGCTTGCAGAAAGCATCCGCTTTATCCAAAAGATTCAAGCAAAGTATGACAAAACACTACATGAGAGAGACACTGCCATAGCAGAATCTGAAAAATTGCGCCAAATGAACAGGGATGGAGCTTCAATGATAGCAACCACCCAGATCGCCGACTTCTCTTTTTTTGAGCTGCGGCAAGCAACCCAAGACTTTGATACGGCACTCAAGATTGGCACAGGCAGATTTATGAATGTGTACAAAGGGTTCATACGGAACACGGCTATAACTGTAATGTTGCTTCATCCTCAGGGCCTGCAAGGGCAGTTAGAATTCCATCAAGAGGTAAATGAGATAACTAAAGTTGAAGCTATATAGCCATACATTTCCCTTTCAGCAGAAGAGCACTGAATCATCATTTTCTGTATATGTGGCGTCATAACTGCAGGTTGTTGTTCTCAGTAGACTGAGGCATCCTAACGTCATGATGCTAATAGGTGCATGTCCGGAAGCTTTTGGCATGGTGTATGAATTCCTCCCAAATGGGAGCCTCGAGGACCAGCTCTCGTGCAAGAAAAACACACCACCACTGACATGGAAGATGCGTACCAGGATCATTGGGGAGATATGTTCAGCCTTGACCTTCATCCACTCACAGAAGCCTCACCCGGTTGTTCATGGTAATCTGAACCCCATGAACATTCTTCTTGATGCCAACTTTGTAAGCAAGTTGCACGTCTGCCAGCTTCTCAGAAAATACAACACCGGAAATAACACTTCAGGAACATCCTCCTACATTGACCCTGAATTCTTGTCCACCGGAGAACTCGCCCCACGCTGCGACGTGTACTCCTTCGGCATTATCATCCTACATCTACTGACAGGAAAATCACCACAGAACATCACAACAATAGTAGAAGATGCTATGGAGAAAAGGCAGCTGCATTCAATCATGGACACCTCCGCAGGGAGCTGGCCCTTCGTGCAGGCCAACCAGCTTGCGCATCTCGGACTGAGATGCGCCAATTTGAGTGGAAGGCACCGGCCAGATCTCACGGGGGAGGTGTGGGGGGTGATCAAGCCTCTGCTGAAGGATGCTTCCCAGAATTTTGGATGCAAACAAGCATTTGAAGCTCTATCAGATGACACACAAGCACCATCCTACTTTATCTGCCCGATCTTGCAGGTTGGTAATTTGCGACCACATGATAAATTGATGTGATATAATTGATGATTTCACACAAAATTGACGGGGTTCTAGGTCGATGTATTAGTAGTGCTATACTGGTTTATCCAATTGGGAGTATGTATTCGAACTTACCAGAACTTTTGCTCCGATGGATGGTGAACAGGAGGTGATGACTGATCCTCACATCGCAGCAGACGGGTACACGTACGAAGCCAATGCCATCAGAAACTGGCTCGACGGCGGCAACGCCAGGTCGCCGATGACGAACCTGAGTCTCGAAAACCGCGAGCTCACGCCGAACAGAGTGCTCCGCTCGGCTATCCTCGAGTGGCGACAGCACAGGAGATGACATCAACCTATTCCTCGATGCGGACTCAGCTCATCTAGATGCTTCATCTCACCTGTAAAATATAGTGGGGGATTTCTGGTGTTACCTGAACATGGCGTGTGCCTGTGCAGAAGTGTGCCTCTAAAATCTCAATCACCATCTATCGGCGTGCACCTACTCTACTATCTTAGGTCACAAAAGGTGGATGCTCATGAGCGGAATCGGATCCTTACCTGTGCGCGCGGACGGCGGAGGGGCGGCGAGTGCTGGCGCCGCGCCGGGCCGGTGGGGTCGATGTGACGGCAACCGACGCGCGCTCCGGCTCGGATTCAGCGCGGGCGGCGGCGAAGGCAAGCGGCGGATTGCGGCAGCAACGTAGGTCCCCTCACCGGTTGCGCCCCCGCCGCCTCGCCGCGAAGGGCGATGCTGCCGCACGCTGCGCTCGCCTACGGCCGCCACGCGCTACCGCTCTCACCGGCAGAGTCGAGCCGGAAAGGCAGCTCGGTTGGTGAGTCCGGTGGGCTCGCCAATTCTCATGGGCCTATCGCCGCTACGAGATAAAGAAGGAATAAGTTCACCGGAGGTCTTAACAGCGAGATTTTTTATGTCCCTTAAGTACAAAATGTTTACCCCTAAACTCAATGTTTATGGCAGTATATATATATATATATATATATATATGAGTGGTTTCGCTGACGTGGCATCTTAGTTAGAAAAAAAAATTAAAAAAGATACGTGGGACCCACTTATAAGTTGCACATCTCTTTTCTACTCGTTTTCTTTCCCCTTCTCTTCTCTATTCTCTCTTCTCTCTTCTCTTCTTCAGGCCGACAGCAGGCGGAGAGCCGGCGGGCAAGCGTGGACGCAGGCGGCGGGCGGAGAGCCGGCGGGCTGCTGTCGCCGGAGCTGCATAGCCGGCTCCTCTCCGACCACCGCGCACCCTTGCTCTCCCTCCTCCGCCGCCGGGACGACGAGCTCCGGACCAAGATCAAGTACCACCTCCTCGCGCTCGGATGGACCATCGCCTCCAAGCCCAACCTCCCTGGCCTCACGCCCAGGCTCCGCTACGTCTCCCTCGCCGGAAGCATGCATGCATGCATAGCAATACACAAACATATATATATGGTGCTCAACTAATGGCTAGGTCCTCGCATGTGCAGCGGCTGCAACAACAAGAGCACGGCGACGGCGATGGTGCCTCCGCCTCCGGCCACCTCCGCCGCGGCCCAGTGCTCCTGCCGCCGACGACGCCCTCCCCTTCTCTTGCGTCACCGGCCGGCGCCGCCGGCAGCCGAACCTCTTGTGACCCGTGGGCCGTGGCTCCGCGCACGCCCGCCGCTCCGCTGCCGTGCTCGCCCGCCGTCGCGCTCGCCCGCAGCCCGGCGGCGCTTCGACGGTGAAGAGAAAAGTGAAGAGGAGAAGAAGAAAAGTGAACAGGAGAAAAGAGAAGAAAATATGTGAAGATGACATGTGGGCCCCACGTACTTTTAAAAATTTTTTTGCTGACTAGGATGCCACATCAGCGAAACCACCCACGTATACTGCCATAGGACCTTTAGTGCACGGTTTGTATAAGTTTAGAGGTATACATTTCTGGTTTATGGTTAAGGGACTTAAAAAAAATCTTGCTGTTAAGTTGAGGGATCTCCGGTGAACTTATTCCGATAAAGAAAGCCCATAGACACCCCAGGCGGTGTGGGCCCCATTAAAGGCTCAAGCTCAAGATACACGGCCCAGTATACAACGGTGGGCCTCGGCCATGTTCCGCACGTTGGCCCGTGAAATGCAGATATACTCGGCCCTGATCAGGTTCAGGGCATCTTCTCAAAATAAGAAAATCCATGAAATAATAAGTATCATATTTTTTTTAAGAACACGGCAAAGATCTGCGTATCATTTCATTAAGATAAAGAACAAAAGATGTACGGTGTTAGAAAAAAACTCCGACACTCGCCCACCAAGAATACAACAGAATACTATCGACGTTTGATGTCTCGACTACGGTATTTGCATGGCATAGGGATCGTTGGTACTAGGATATACGCGAGACTGAGGTAAAAGAGACGGAGACATCGATTTTTATACAGGTTCAGGCCCTTGAATTGTCATGTAATAACCCTACATCCTGTTGGCCGAAGCCGGTCGTTGCCCTTATTCACCATAATCACACCAGTACAATATTTAGGGTAGCCTATCTAACTGTTGTCAACATGGCAGTCTGAAGGTCTGACTCGCAGTCGACAACAGGGTAGTCTTCCTCCTCGAATCCGTGCTGGCGAGATCAAAGATAGCGCTTTCGTCTCTACTGACAGTGTCCGGAGACACCATAGGGGACTAGCCGTGCCTATCTCTGAAGTCGATATCCGGCGTTTTGTCTTGGCGTATGTTGGCTTGTATGTTGATCTTCTGTCTTGATCTATTATTCCGTAGATTGTGGTGGGTGTTGATTGTCTGTGTTCGTGTCCCCTCTCCTCCTACGAGGCCTTGTATTTATACCCATAGGTATCCCCTTGTCCAAGTAGAACTAGGGAAACAAATATGGATACAATCCGAGTAGTCATTGTCGTTTCCATGTAGAACTCTGGTTGTCTTTCCTTATCCGGAACTCCTCCTATATCCGCAGGTTGTTTCCGTATAGGACATGGTATGTGGTGGGTCCTGCCGAGATTTAGTCAACTACTATTAGGTATGTGGTATCCATAACCCTGACAAATACCACACACCCAAAGAAAAAAAAACACAAACTAGTGCATTAGCAGCCCAGTCCTAGCAAAGAGATCATGAAGCCTAGCAGCTCCTGCTAGGCACCAAAGAGCGCCCTCATTAGCGATAGCTCGGAGGACATCGGCCAAGCATAGGATAGCACCATTAAATACACAATTGTTCATGTGCTTCCGATCGAATTTCCCAAGCGACCAAGATGATTAAAGAGTTTAGCCCTTTCTTCTCATTAGTAGGTAAACCCCTTACTGTTCTTGACCCTCAATTGGCAAACCTAGCAATAACCTGGGTTTGAAAAGCTAGAGTAGCCAAGCCGTTGCACGACCAAACACCATACTTATCAAGAAAACACACAAGTGACTAGGATGTGACTAATAGTTTTCTGAGCTAGATCACATAATGGACATGTAGGCGGGTGTTGAAGTCCTCGCTTGTCCAACCGGTCTGTTGTCCAACAACGATTATTAATTGCCAACCATATAAACAATCTGTATTTCAAAGGCATCCAACTCTTTCAAATTCTTCTTCTAGGTGCAAACCTTACCGTCCCAACAAAGATGGCCTCATATGCAGATTTAGAAGTATAAATTCCTGAGTTTGAGAGCTTCCAAACATGCTGTTCTGGAACAAGTATCATATTTTAAGACATACTATCGGTGAATATAACTTCCAAAAAAACGTCATCTTACGAGTCAACGCGTTGTAGAAATGACATATATTGCTGTTAGAGTTATATCCATTTTACTCCGTTAACCTCGTCACATTTTAACAGTGAGAAACGGATGGAACCTAACGGTAATGGTATTTTTAGGTAAGTTAGCTTGTACAATATTTTTTGGAAGTTGTGTTGTTGGATTTTCTCCTAAAATTCAGCGGGTTACTGTATCCCTTCGTCCTGCAGTCCGCATGGTCAAGCGGTTGTACTGCATGGACGAGCTCTAGAGGTGAACGGACATGCACGAGTACACAACTCGAGTCTTCTTTACATCGTTTTTGCACATCTCGCACTCGGTAGCACTGTTCTCGCCGTACGCAGAAGCGGCTTCATACCGCTATTTCTACTGTGGTAGCAGGATTCAGAATTCGCAAAATTACATAAGGCCACGAAGGGAGACAGGACAAGACAGCAGGGAGACAACAATGGCGTTGTCGTCGTCCCCATGCACGAAGGCGGCAACCTACACGCTGGCAAATCATGCAAGATCACAGGATACAGAATCGCCGAAGGTAATAGCTTTGGGCTGTTCCGGCCATACAACTGAATGGATGACAGCATTTTGGCTGGCAGTGGGCCGTGCGCCATGGCGCTGTCCAAGTTCTTTAATCATGTGGTGTTATTAGCATCTACTCCCGGACAGGGTATATCGAGTTGTCTTTGCTTGGATGGCTTCTTGTCTTGGATAAGCGCGAGAAACCTATCAAATTTATTCTGCCAGGTTGCTTTCATGAATTATTAGTATTTCGGATGGACCTGATTGATCTTCTCTTTCTGTATGCATGCCCTGATTAAGCTCCAATTTAAACTCTAGCTCGTTTAAGAAATCCAAAGTACTCTATGGTTTGTGTTATGTGGTAGGCCCATGCTAATCCAAATTTATTTCCAAATTCCAAACCAATGATCTTGCATCTCCCATTATTTGCCTGTTACATGTGGTTTGGTTTTGCTAAGCTGGTACGTAACAGAATGTCATTTGCGTGCAAAAGCTGATGCTTAGTTTATCTATTTCTGTTCATGTCAAGAAAAGCCAATAATAATACTCCCTCCGTTTAAAAATATTATTTGACACCGTTGACTTTTTAGCACATATTTGACCGTTCGTCTTATTAAAAAAATTATAAAATATGTAAAACTATATGTGTACATGAAAGTATATTTAACAATGATTCAAATGATATGAAAAGAATAAATAATTACTTAAATTTTTTGAATAAGACGAATGGTCAAACACGTACTAAAAAATCAACGGTGTCAAATATTTTAAAACGGAGGGAGTATGACCTAACGACCACCGGCCCTGAACTATGAGCCAGGCAGTAGTTAGGCCCTCACTATATTAAACTAATATTTGCGGAAGAGAACTGATCCTCGTCGATAGCTTTTTATACTTTGCTGGAATTGAATTTCTTATTGATTAGTTCATCCTCGAAGCCAATCATTTGGCTTCAATCATCTGGAGCATATCCACAGACACCATCCTACCAGATACTTTAAATTGAAAATAAATTCGCACGGAAAACCCTAAATCATCCCCATAAATTCTGCACCACGCAAATTAAAAAACTGATCTGGAAAAAAAATCAAAAAACTGTTAAGTCAGTAAACCATCATTCGCGTGGCTGACACTGGAGCAGTTGGCTGTGGCGCTGGCGCCGCCCAGGGGGTTAGGCAGCTGCCCGGGGCGGCGCATGTGCGCGCCACGGACGTGTGGCGTGCGCGCCGTGGCCGGCAGGGCGTGACGCGACGTGCACCCGTTCGAGTGGCGCACTTGCGCTCGCCGCGGTGGTGACGCTCTCCCGGCACTGCCTGCCTGCCTGCCTCTCATCATGCGGCTGGCACGGTGGCAATGGACAAGGTGGTAACAAGGTGAGGGGAAAAAAATGAATTTTGAAACTTGATTTTAAATTGTTATGGGGTTTTTCATCGCTTTCTTTTTAAGCTTGCTTTTAACTGCTAAGAGTGAAATATAAAAATTCTATCCTTACAAATAGCAATTAAAGATTTACCACTGGATTCACATGTTATAAACTGTTAGCGATAAATTATTGAATGCCACATCTTAAAATTACTAAAAAGTTAAATGCTCCCATGCACTAGTTGCGGCTGATGAAAGAAACAATGCAAAGCCAGCGAGATACTGATGATACAGTGGTACGGCTCTGCAGCTTTGTTCCAACGGCTTCTCGATTTTTTCAGCAGCAGAAACAGTTGTGGCAACGGTCATCACTCATCGGAGCTCAGAGTCTGCTCCCCCCGCCAATAATACAGTGATATGTGTACGTGTTCGTCAGTTAGTGCGAGTACAATTGCACTGAGAAGAACAGGAGGGAATAGTTCTCCTTTTCGGTAGGATTATTGAAGGAGATGGGATGTATTTTATGCTTGTTTTTTCCCATAGCCATCTGAATTCCTTGATTCTGTGGGCTGAACAGCTAGACTGTTTCAGCAGTGAAATATTGGAGAATGATCTGTTCTTCGGTGGAAAGATTGAGGTCGTTCAAAGCTCGGGACCGAAACTGACATGCATGATAGTGGTATTTTTGTTTCTCAGGATATTCAGAGCATGCGAAGTGGCTCATGGAAAAACGTTAGTTGCAAAATTTCAAGCACAAGTGAATTGATGGTCTTGTCCCTGCTCTTTATTTTAGGAACCTTGTTCTTTAATTCTGAAGTTGTACAGTTCTGAATTTCTGATGGCTCATCCTGGACTAATTACTGAAAATTCAGGTCATAGAAATTCAGCAACGAAACATCTGCAAAATAATTTTGGCCACAATCATGCCCTGCTTAGGTGTAAAGGACGAAAGTTTCCATGCTTAGCTGTAGCATGGGGTCTCTGAATTGCTGGAAACTCTGTGCAATAGCAGGCCTCTGAATATCAATCAAGAACGTCACCCAGGCTTTTTCCGCAAACAAATTCAGTGCAACAACTACTGAAAAAACAAGTACTCCTGTGCAGCTCGCTTTGCCTCAGAAACTTTACTTTCTCTCTTCAGATTTTTCAGTACATGTAGCTGCACTATACCTGGGCCCTTTATCACCAGGAACACCAAAACAATGGCATCTTTTGACTCTCCATGGAAGCGACAACATACTACAGTGTAGCATCAAATGATATGGGTCATCGAGCTAAGTGTAACACATTCAATTAAGTGGTCTGAAGAAACTTGAACTCCCCAACAAGTTGCCTATCCTTTTTTCATTTTGGGTGAATTGCACTGCAGTTTTTCTATCATTATGCTTTCTGGAAAAGTTTACTGAATGATGAAGCCAAAGTGGTTAGGTTCATGTTTGCATCATCATCCATCCAAAGCAGTGGCACAGATCTGTGCTCCATTAAGCTGTGATAAAGCATCGACAGTAACATAACTACTGCAATGTAAACTACTCCGATAGTAGTACTCGTAGTAGTTGTTCTCTTTCTTTAACACGCAACTGTTTAAAGCAAAGCTGATCATATGCAGCCTGATGCAGGAACTGTATCTGATCACGCTAATTCGACAGTACTAGTTAAAAAAGGAGGATTTTTACGGTACATTCTACTACTAGTATATACTACCAGTATATTTAATTTAACGGTTTAAAATTCATCCGATCTCCCTTCCAATTATCCTGCAGTATAAATTGAAAAGGGTATATTTGTCTTTTTATCTAATTATGTGGGGGTAATTTCGTGATTTCACGTTTCATCACTGGTCAGATCCGATCCACGGTCACCCCTTTGTGGAAGTCGCGCCCAGTCGTCTTCCTCTTGCGAGCAGCGAGCGCCGCCTCGCCGCCGCCGCCATTGGGAATCGAATCGATTTCCCTCCTCCTTTCCTCTTCTTGTGTCTTTTCTGGCGACCCAAAACCCTAGTTCTTGAGGGAGGCGATGGGCAGGCGGAGCAGCAGAAGGGTGCATGCTGCTGTGGCATAGGCGCGCAGCTTCCGCAGCTCGCAGCGGCAAGGGCAGCCATGCGGCGGCAGGTCGGATGCGGGGAAGAATAGGCTAGGGCTTGAGGGAGGGCGCCGGGGACGCGGGAGACGCCAGGCGCGTGGAGGTTCGGCTTCTCCCGGCGCCGGAGGAATCGGGATGGAGGCGTCGGCGCGGGAGCAACGACGCCGGAGCAGCGACGCGAGATGTATCGTGAAGAAGCGGATGACGATATCCACAGAAAAAACAACTGAAGGAAATTAATCCCAGTGAAAATAATTCTCTAATTTAAATGACCAAAAAGCCCTTTTCAGATTTTCACCTAATACCAAAACTACCCTTTCATATACTGGTAGTATATACTAGCAGTAGAATATACCATAAAAGTCCTTAAAAAAAGGTTTCTAAACTCGAATCGAAGAGGGTTCTAAACTCTAAAAGAATTAGCCGCTAACATGGATGGACTGTACATCACAAATTCTCACACACATGACACATATATTATAATCATATATGTGCCCCCATCACTGTCCTTTCGACGTTGGCTTTGGATCCCGGACAAAACAGAAAGAATCCTTCGAAGTGAGGGAAAGGATTAGGCATCCTGGCTAGTAGGAGGAGTACAACAGAAGAAGCCATACTTCTAGAATTCAGTATTGCATAATGCAATTAGGCTGTGTTCTTGGTGGAAGTTAAGAACCTCACCTCTCGACACGAAAATGGAACGATGGACTAACATACAATTAATTAAGTATTAATAAAAAAATATAAAAAAAAAGGTTAATATGATTTTTTTAAAAAAAGTAATTTTCAATAGAAAATTTTTGCAAAACACACATTGTTTAACCGTCTGGGAAGAGTGTGCGAAAAAAGAGGAGGAGTTAGGCTGCGTTCGGATCTCGGAGATGGGAACTCATTCCCTCCTCACGAAAAACGGAGTGGTCCATTAGCGCGTGATTAATTAAGTATTAGCTAACTTTTTTTTAAAAAAAATAACTTTTATATAGAAAATTTTTTAAAAAACACATCGTTTAGCCGTTTGAAAAGCATGCGCATGGAATACTAGTAAGAGCGGTTGGGAGTCCTTTGCAACGAAAACAGCCTTAGTAGCAAGCACAAACTAACTCAGCTTTAGAGGCCCCTCATATTGATGTTTAACTTGTTATGGGGCATTTATTTCTACACAGTCTCATTTATCAACTGAAACTAAAAAGGTTGTCCAATTCCGTCCTCCTTTTGTAACGGCTCGCAAATACAATGGGTTGTTTAGATTCATGTCATTTTAAATCATATTATTTTTTATAAAGTTATCAAAATGTACATATATTTATTTATTTTTACCAAACTTTACTAAATGAGATAATCCAACAAATGGCATTTAAAGCGTTCAAATCCAAGAAATGCCATCGCCGTTATGCTTCCGTCCGTTTCACGCCGTTAAAATACAATGTTCATCCTATAACACTTAATGGTGTGGAATGGACGGAACCCTAACGGCGATGGCATTTTTGGGATAAAGTCGTTTGTACGATGGCATTTCTTAGAACTCATATTTGTCGATGGCATTTTTTGAATTTGGATGATTGTCAATGGTATTTTTTGGATTATCTCTTAGTAAATACATAAGGAATCATGCCAAAACTTGACAATATTGTCAACTTATCAAAATTTAATTGGGATTATTTTGGCGATAATATGAACAGCCCTTACATTTCTGAAGAATTATAGCTCAAATATGGCTATGGCCCTGTTTGGATTCGGAGGGCTATTTAATAGCCCTCCGGAATCTTGCTATTTAAGAGTATTAAACGTAGATTACTGATAAAACTCATTCCATAACCCCTACGCTATTCTACGAGACGAATCTAACGAGGTATATTAATCCATGATTTGCTACAGTAATCAGCCGCTAATCGTGGATTAATATACATCATTAGATTCGTCTCGTAAAATAGGCTAGGGATTATGGAATCGGTTTTATCGGTAATCTATGTTTAATACTTCTAAATAGCAAGATTCCGAAGGGCTATTTAATAGCTCGGAGCATCCAAACAAGGCCTATGTTTAGATCCAAACTTCCAACTTTTTCTATCACATTAAACTGTCATACATACATAACTTTTCAGTCACATCGTACCAATTTCAACCCAAACTTTCAACTTTGGAAGAACTAAACACAGCATATGACAGTGCAGTTCAGCTCAATTTTGTTCGGAGCCTAAAAAAAAGAAAAGAAAAAAAGCTCAATTTGGATAAGGCTATGAATAAACTCAAAAAAGCATCCAACCTAACCACCACACTGGCCCACCAGGGCCCACGCTCCACTCCCGTGATCATCACCTCCTTCCCTTTCCAGAACCACCTTCTCCTTCCTTCCTCCTCTTCTTCTTCAGTGTACTCTGCCTTTATAACACCCTACTCCTCTCTCTCACCTCCACCATCTAGCTCACTCACACAGTCTCCACTCACACGCATTGCAGAGGAGAGGCGACAATGGAGGGGAAGGAGGAGGACGTGCGGCTGGGGGCGAACAGGTACTCGGAGAGGCAGCCGATAGGGACGGCGGCGCAGGGCGCCGGGGACGACAAGGACTACAAGGAGCCGCCGCCGGCGCCGCTGTTCGAGCCAGGGGAGCTCAAGTCGTGGTCTTTCTACCGGGCCGGGATCGCCGAGTTCGTCGCCACCTTCCTCTTCCTCTACATCACCATCCTCACCGTCATGGGGGTCTCCAAGTCCTCCTCCAAGTGCGCCACCGTCGGCATCCAGGGCATCGCCTGGTCCTTCGGAGGCATGATCTTCGCGCTCGTCTACTGCACCGCCGGCATCTCCGGTCAGTTCACTCTCCTTTGGCTTCCTCCCCCACCTTCAAGATCTCAAGTCTTCAACTTTGTCATGATTTTGCCTTGGTTTGTCTTGCTAGTTGATACTTACTTGTTACCTGCACTTTGCTTGGCTCAGTAGTTTCTTCATACTAGCATGCTCACTTTAGTAAAGCATGAGGTATAGAATCATGTGTACTACTACTGCTCCTTCCATAAGTAGCAAGACTTTGAGGCATATGGCATTAACACTGAATAATTGATGAAAGACTTTTAGTTACCTGCTTTTGGGGTGTTAGATCAGTATTAGTAACTGGAAATTCACTAAATTTGTTGTCCATGCTCTTGTAGTTTTAAAGAATTATTATAGCTTTCTACAGGTGTTGAATGCACCAAAAATTTATGACACTACCTTTTGCTCTTGTACCATCATGTACCTTGTCTGCGCAAAGATTTGTCGCTGGCATATTGTACTGCTGTGGTATGTGAATTTTGTTCTTATGCAAAGGTTTGATTTACGACTAGAAGATTAAGGATTTAAGGTCATCCGATTGATTTAACTCTTAACCCAGCATTTTCTTCGGTAGTGTTCTAACTGTTGATGCTGAAACCACACAAATTATCACACAAAAATATATTATTTTTAGTTCATCAAAATTGAATGTGCACTTGGAGCCTTGGAGGCAAAGAAATATGTGATGCCAAAATTTTCTCCTTGGTTAATCTTCCTACCAGAATATTAACAAAACTATATGAACAAGTAAATATCTTGTGTTGTCAACTTATACAGTCTATCACAACTCGCAATCTTAGAAGTTAATTTCTGTACCAGTTTTATATAATGCTTCAAAATCTCAAATACTACCTTGTTAATCTCAAAATATGAATACATGAGGGTACACTATACAGTCTTACTTCAACTGTCATGACAACTGACCACAAAACAACTACGGCAATTAAGGGCACTACTAATATCCATTATATTGTCTGTTACTGCAACAGGAGGACACATCAACCCAGCAGTTACTTTTGGGCTGTTCTTGGCCAGGAAGCTGTCCCTGACCCGGGCCATCTTCTACATAGTGATGCAATGCCTAGGGGCCATCTGCGGAGCTGGAGTTGTGAAGGGCTTCCAGCAGGGTCTGTACATGGGCAATGGCGGTGGTGCCAATGTAGTTGCCAGTGGCTACACCAAGGGTGACGGTCTTGGTGCTGAGATTGTTGGCACCTTCATCCTGGTCTACACCGTCTTCTCAGCCACTGATGCCAAGAGGAATGCCAGGGACTCACATGTTCCTGTAAGTATCCTTCTCCTTTTTGCAGTGTGATATGTGAAAGTTCAGTAGTAGTTAGTGTGGTCTAATGAGTTATGCACTGTGATAACTAATTCATCACCAAACCCTAAAGTGATAATGTGCAAATCACTAAGCAGTATTTTGGTTAGCACCTTTACATACCTCACTCATACAGTATGCCTTTAACAATGAACTGGTGTGCTCATAACTTGTAGGTGTGCGCCATTTATGGCTAGACTTTTAACTAGTTTAATTTATCATGTTTGCTCAAGAAATTGACTGTATGCGTATAGTTACTGGAAGTATATATGGGTTTTTTGTGTGTTGCATAACGTATTTCTGTCCTTTGTTGGTGAAAACAGATCCTTGCCCCACTGCCAATTGGTTTTGCGGTGTTCCTGGTCCACCTGGCCACCATCCCCATCACCGGTACTGGCATCAACCCAGCCAGGAGCCTTGGCGCTGCCATCATCTACAACAAGGACCATGCCTGGAATGACCATGTGAGCAACCTTTCTTCTCTTTTTACCTACTCGCCGTTCTCAGCAATTGGTTCCTCTTACATTATCAGATATTAGTCAGCACATCATTGATAATCGATACATTTTTTGTTGGCAAATTGAGGTCTAAGCTGATAAACATGTCAGTATATATAATCAAATGTTCTCAGCAATTGGTTCCTCTTACATTATCAGATATTAGTCAGCACATTACTGATAATCGATACATTTTTTGTTGGCAAATTGAGGTCTAAGCTGATAAACATGTCAGTATATATAATCAAATGTTCTGATACTTTTTTTGGTTATATTTTTCTCTTTGTATGGGTAGGTCTAAGATGATAAACATGTCACTATAACCAAATGTAGCAGCATGCTCTTGCTAAAGTTTACTTAGTAGCTTACCAGCTTACTAGCCTTTGCTCAAGAAAAGAGTAGAAGACACGACAAAGAGTTTTTCCTTACAAATTTTGGTATCTAAATTTTGCAGTGGATCTTCTGGGTTGGTCCCTTCGTTGGCGCTGCCCTGGCTGCCATCTACCACCAGGTGATCATCAGGGCGATCCCATTCAAGAGCAGGTCTTAAGCCCCGCGCCGCCGCTGCGCAGCCGACGACATGCAACGCAATCGTGATGTCCTGTTTCCCGCGCGCTACTGCTGCGCATCTGTCGATTCCCTCTATCTCTAGTCCCCAAGATGTTTTTCCTATCTGAACCCTGAACAACTCAATCGTGTAATCCAGTACTCAGTCACTGTATGTTTTTATGTGATGGAGATCTTAATTCTTAAGTTATCATCTCTGTTGCTGGAAATCCGGTTTCCTCTTCGTGCATGAACCGCGCCTTTAATACACGTACTAGAATAATCTTGGCAGGCAGCAATGCTGGTATGATCCTACGAAGCCTGAACTATGAATGTGAAGGGAAGAACGAAGCAAAAGAGAAAAGAGAACAAAAAGGTAGCTCTGTCTAGTTCCCGACCGAGTAATGCCATGAAAGAACAAATGAACCCTAGTGAGTGTACTATACCAGGATGAGTGATGAGTCCAGCCTTGCATCCATCAAGGGCTAGGGCTTAGCGATCGATCTGATGAGGAGCGGCGGTTTGAATCTGTATGAATGAGTTAGTGGTGGGCCTGGCTTATGTGCGTCAGGACAACGATAACGATGAAGATGAGGACGATTGATGGTGGCCGGGCGCGGTGTAAAGAAGGCCGGCTGGCCGGGTAGTGCGATGGGGACCCGCTAGCCACCGGGCGCACGCTACTACTACTACTTGCTACGTACCCTACGGCAGCGCGGCACATGGGAGGTTTGGTGGGGTGTTTGGTCTCGCCACTAGGGACTTGGAGGCGCCGAGGCAAAAGGAAGTTGAAACTTGGAAGCAAAGCGTGTAAAAATATAATGGAGCAGTGTAGACTGTAGAGATAGATAGATGAAGTACTATACTAGATACCTGGGTCGCATTTAGCCATTTACTACCCTTTTGCATTTCGCCTTCGTCATCCTGCTTCAGGGAAATTTGGCACCAGGGAATATTGAGGTTTATTTATCATCATCTCATCCCTCAAAAATATATGCTAAATGGAAAATTAAAATGGAACCGTTCCAAATGATCCTATGAGGATGCACCACCCATCCCATGGTTCAGACGATTTCCCACTTAAGAGCTCCTTTGAATCAAAGAATTTTATATAGGAGTCTCATACGATTTAAATCCTATAGGAATATTTTCTTTGTCGCTATTTGATTCAAAGGATTAAGGGTTTCTAAATCCAATAAAATTCCTATAGAATGGCTCATTGCATATAGATTTTAGAGGAAATCTAGCAAGAGCTAGATTTTAGAGGAAATCTAGCAAGAGCTCCAGCCTCTTCAAAAATTTCATTTAAGTCTATATCTCTCATCCAATTCTTACATTTTCATGCAATCCAATCAAACGACCATTCCTATGTTACACGTGTGTTTTGCACTTGCATTTCTATAATAATCCTATGTTTTTCCTATTCCTCCGTTTTTTTCATTTTCCTATTCCTCCATTTTTTCACTCCTACGATTCAAAAAGGGCCCTAAGTTCAAGATGAGCGCAAAAAGGCAAAAGCTAGTGTTTGGTTTTTAAAACATGTTTAACTCGAAGCAATAGTTCTTTAGAAAGAAAGAAGTCGTACAGGTGTGCAGTTATTCAACTCGTAGAAAAATGAAAAAGAAATAGAAAAATTAAATCACATTGGAGCTAGGTGCACCATATGATTGTTTCATGTTCCACAAACTAATCAAGATTCAAGAAGCAACAAACGCAAAAGCAAAAAGGGAAGAAGCAACATAATCATATAGTCACGTTGATTTGATTAACGATCAGAATCTCTGTATAATTTCCAGAGTAATAGATACAGTGAATGGATTACCTGAGTACAGCAACAACGCTTTCACTATGCAGGCTGCAGCTGACTAGTTGCAAAAGCTCGCAGCAAGGGGAAGTACTGAGAAAAAGAATGGGTATTGAATGGTTCAATTGCCTCTACCTTTGCAAAATGTGGACTTCTAGTTGAGTTTCCTCCTGTACAATGGCCTCGAAACCCATAGATTGTCCAAAGGAAAACGAATGTAGATACCAGAGTATACAGGTGAAGAACTACTGTTTTGGGTCCTTGGCTATCTAGACCCTCTGTAATATACAATTGCATCAACGACGTGTAACTGGTTAACACATAACAGGCATGGTAATATGGAAGTCAACGCCTGTTCCTGGTGGGGGCATAGCTCACCTGTCCATTCAGAATGCACTGTCAGCAATAGACTATGACTAAGATAGATATCTTCACTGTCCCAAAAACGAAGGAAAAAAAGAGGAAGAGTTGAAGATTGAATGGCGATATAGAGCTCTCCAAAGCCAAGGATATGTAGTTGGCGGTCCCCAAATGACCCCAGTAAATAAGCGGATTGGATTCACATATCTAAGTCCATGTTTCGGAATTTTACTACAACAAAGGAATCAATGTTTGGCAAGTAAATATAGTACCACACAATAATGGTAGCAAGTCAAATTTGGCACCTCAAAGATTCTGTTATTTAAAGATACCAGGCAAAAAACTACTGCACTTGATGATAGTACGACACTCAATCACTCATTAAGCCCATGTACTATATATATCCAGTGAAGGTGTAAAAGCTGTTAATGATGTAGATAACATAGAGCAATTCTTTCAAGTCTTAGAGTTAGAATAAAAGGCTATTCTTTTTCTAAAAATGTATAAATAGAAATGCGAGAATTTGCAGAAAACTATGAGAAGGGATGTACCTTTGTTGAGACGGTCAGCTTCTGAAATAATTAATGAAATTATTCGTGTACTATGATACAGTGCCAGGCTTGCAGTAAATAGATGGGCAAACTGGCTCAGCAGCTCTCATCAAGCTCCAACTCAATGCCTATCCAGCACACCTTTGGGTGAAATCAATGACCATGGTTGCACCCAAGGTGTGGTGGACCAGATCTCAAATCCAGTGGAGGCTTAAGTTTTACCCGATCCTCAAAGCCCTTCTGTGAAGCATGCTCAGAAGGCAGTGGCTTATCATGCAAATTCCACACGCTCACATGTCCCATCCTTCCAAATTGAGGGCTCAGAATGTCAGCTTCAGGGACTGCCCTCTCCTGAAAACCTAGCGAGGGTTGTTTCACTCTAACAAAACGACCAAGGACCGGATCTGGAGGCTGGTTTGGCAAGGGCTCATCAAGACATCTCGATGTAATTGTGAAACCCTCATTATTGTAAGCTAGGTGTCTTGCATGGTTAAAAGGAATAGCTCCATTACCACCAGTCAGAGGAGTGGAAGCACCTGAAGTAGTTCTTGGGCTCGAAATCGGAGAGGGTGACATTATACCATTTTGATGTTGTGGAGATCTTGACCTCAGATGAGGGCTCCCACATGGAGAAACAGGGCAAGATATATAGCTTCGTACATGAATATCACTGCAAGCACCGATGATTAGAGTACATACATTTCCATGCAGATATACATTCACTGAACTGTTTTTTTTTTAAAAAAAACGAGGAACTGTATTTCTTATAGGAGTACAGGACTGAGTTATCGAAAATAAATGACAGCAGGGTACAGAACAAGGGTAAAATGTGAAAAATATTACAATAGCATTAAACACTGCTTGAATTTTACAGTGGGAGCATGTTGCAGCTCAGATGAATTAAGCAGGGACATCAACAAAACATAAAAGCACATTTGGGCAATTATTCATACTTGCATGTTGAAAAAAGGACATTAGTAAGATTTCTAGTAGGGTTCACTTAGTGTCCTCATATATAAAAAATTCATACAAAGGTCATTTATTTTGTATTCATTTGAATGTCATTATTTAGGGGTAACTGCCAAAATAAAAGGAGGAGGAGATAGTTCAGTAATGTGCAGCTAAAATTTCCTACTTTGAAATGTTAGCTAATTTACTTTTCGTCATACCAAAGCATAAGGATTATGATATGAGAGGTTTGGTTGCGGTTCTAATTTAATTTTTTCAGCAGAGATTTATAAGTTAGCTACTGCTCCTCTAGAATATTTAGTACACACACTCCAAAGCAATATTCTTATGAATTAGCAGGTAGATTCAAATATTGAATGATTCACCTGTGCACAGAAGAAAATTTAGCAGCTCTTCTCTGGTAAATGGATTGCCCTTCCAAACCCAAAGAAGACATATTTCTGGCATGCCCGACCACCTGAAATGTCACAAGAGACAAAGCGTAAGAAAAATGGAACAATCAATTGTCCATCTGATAACCAAGACCTTAATACTCTAAGTAGGCCCCAGTAACATTTATCTGTCCTAGTTAGCTACAACAGCCAGAAAGAAGCAAATGAAAGGAAACAAGGTAAAAAATAAAGTAAATGATTTGTAGAATTAATGCATACAGCTGCTAACTGGGCAAACATGCATGACAGATGTTTAGCTAAAAGACAACATGTTCCAGGAAAGCAGTTGATACCTTCAGATCTGGTTTGCAGGATGTAGTAGACAACTGTAGCAATGGATCCGACAGTGATTTTTCAAGTGGAGATGCATTTCGTATAAATGAATGCTGCAAAAGATCCACTGCTGTTGGACGGCTGGATGGATTGCGCTGCAGGCACTGTCTTATAAAGTCTCTGCCCTCTTCTGAGAGGTGATCTGGTATTGGTGGAAGCTCCTTACTGTTTCCTATCTTAAACACTGCAGCAATCTAAAAAACAAAGCATTGTGTCAACATCTGGCTCATAACAGATCAATGATTTATTCCTACTGCCAATCCATACAAAATATTTAAAAGGAACAAAAAAGAGAGGGGGGGGCACTTTTAGAACGAATGTTACTGCGGAACAAGAGACATGTCAAGAATATAGGAAAGAGGTGTCGCAGATTGTTAAGTAGTATTTCTCATAAGGGCACCTTCAACGTGAAGCTTAGATGGATGCTTTGGGGAAAAAAATAGGATAGCAAAATAACATGATGTAAAATCCAAAAATAGAATGGAATTAACACTAAAAACTGCTAGATCTAGGTCAATATAGTGATAATCAGTATGCATTATAATAAATAAAAGATTCCAGTTTTGACGCCAAAGGGATCCATTGCCCCCCTTAGCGAATACATCATGATGCAATGTCTCAAAAAGTCCAAGATAAATAGAAGGTGAAGAACATATAAAGAAGTCTAACATGCAAAACCTCAACCAAATTTTCAATATACAAAAAATATATAAGCATTCACATGGTACCGGTCATCATGTGGTTCCTGTACCACTTGTCTGTTTTATATTCAACATAAAAAAATGAATACAAAATTAAATCATTGCATCTTTAAACAACCTTTTTGTTTTGGAATTTTTCAAACATAGTGTCATGTTGGATTCGTCAGATTTCATCAAAGGGGATGCTGGGCCTCCTGGCCACCACAAACTTTTGCTAACTAAAAAGAGCATTGGGAAAATAAGACAAAACAATGAGCCATGCTGAACTTGTTTTTTTAATTAAAATAAGTACTGAAGCAAAACCACAACAATGATACAGTATCCACCATTCATCTTCTATAGTACTCCCTTCAGCCAAAACTATATGACATTTGACTTTTTTATGGTCTTCAAAATTCACTGTTGAATCAAATATTGTAGCAATGTGCAGTTATTCAAAACTCGTAGCAAAGTGCCATTATTCAAAATTCAACGTTGAATCAAATATGGTTTTACATTAGAATAAGTATAAAATCTTGTAAGTTTATGATATTATGATAATACTTTTCAAGTCGAATCGACACATACCATTTTTAAGTTGAACTAAGCCCATTAGAAGTTATGATGGTCAAGGTTTCAAAAGTATGACCGTATATTGTCCTAAACGTTCCCCTAAAAAGATAGTCCGAAACATCAAATATTTATGACCAAAGGGAGTACCTTCTCATGAAAAGAAAATGTGTGTTGCACAAAAACATAAAATACAGCTTAAGAGCCTAGTATAAGTACTAACCCCTTCATATTGGCTCCATGGTGGTTTTGAGGTAGCCATCTCTAAAACCGTGCATCCTAAGCTCCATATGTCAACAGCAAGATTACATCCATTAGAATTTTTTATAACCTGCATAGTTATTACATGTGTGAGAGAAGCAAGGTTGATTTTTATAACAGCGGAGAGAAGATAGGCATAAATTCATCAAATAACTAGAGAAGTGTAGAAGAATGTAGGATTTTCATTACCTCAGGAGCCATCCAGTACGGGCTACCCTTAAATGAAAAGGCACACTGCTGCCCATTGATCTGAAAAATGGATTGGCAGAAAAGAAGTTCATATGCGCGGATAAATATCCAAAGAAGAAACATCTATAGACAAAAGGACCTTCCCATAAACATATAACTTGCTAGAAACAACTAATCACTTATCCAAATGGCCCATAAGAGTCGGCCCATGAAGGTATACAAGCTTATATTACTAATAAAATGGCACTACATCTATGGTAAACAAACTACTGCCTAGTAACTAGCATAGAAACATGCATAACCATTTGGTCCAAGTAAGCCAGCAAATGTGCTGACAGATACGGTAAGGACCAAAACAAAATGGTTATCTCTTATTGAATGGATTGATCTAGCACAAGTGGTAGTCCTCAAGTGCAAGAGAACACGAGGGAAAGGGTAAAGCACAATACACCATTTCTTCCTATGAAGATGATACAAGGAATTACATCTAATAATGCTTTTGCTTTAAATTTTAGTTATTCCTGACAAATGAGAAAGATTTTTTTTTTTACAATTTGAAACAGAGAATTTACATGTTTTGCCATTCCGAAGTCAGCAAGCTTTACACGACCATTAGGATCTACCAGTATGTTTGCACCTTTAATGTCCCTGCAAATTATGGAACATGACAAATAATAAAATAATCTACAACTTGGTAGCTTACATCTAAGGAACTGAAGTGCTGAACTAACGACAAAAGGAAATGGAATGTTACCTGTGAACCGTATTTTTTGCATGCAGATAAGCCAAGCCTAAAAGTATTTGCTTGGTATAACTGCGGATAGCAGGTTCACCAAATTGCCCATACTCCTGGAGTAGTTTATGGATGGATCCACCAGAAACATACTCCAGGTATATATAAAGTTTATCATCAACCTGTTTTGAATAAATGGATAGTGTATAGTTATTTTTAAAGTAAACAGAGGAGTCAGGAGTGCAAGCAAAAGTGAAGTTCGTAAAATTCTGCAGAATGTGGCATGAACTTTTTTGCTACGTTTCCTTACAGAGAAGTGTTCAGAGAAATATTATAGTTCAGTGGCATATGTCATCATCAGAGAGTACAGTGCAGTGCAAGAAATAATAATGCGGGTACGCACATTGGTCATGCAGTCAAACCTTGAAACTAACCCACAAATCTGTACTCCTTCTGAAGGAAGACAGTGTAGCGGTGGTGACAGTGAATCTGCCACCCACCAACTATGAACTACATTTTGTACCAATAAGACATGCATTTATTTTTATCTGTTGCAAAGCCACCTGCATTTAGCTAGTACCCCCCCCCCAACTGTTTCAAAATATAAGGCTTATTTTGAGGGCACAAAGATTAAGAATTGTTAGAATAGGTGTCGAATATACTAGTCCTATTTGGTTACGGTTGGACTTGGAGTTGTAATAGGTGTTAGGGGTAGAGTTAGAGTCGGACTCTGTAACCTGTCATCTCTCTTAAATAGAGAGGGGGCACCACAATGTAATCATGGCGACTACAATGTAGCGTAGACACGCAGGGAGATGATGGCGGCATGGCCATGGACTCGTAGCGGCTAGGAGCTATATTGGTTGGGGAGGAGCGCCCATAATCAGAGCCCCGGGGATGTAGGCTTCGGCTGAACCTCGTTAACAAATATCGTGTGTTCCTGTGTCGTCATCTGGCATGTCTTGGGTGATTAATGATTGAAGCGATCGAGAAGGTTAGTCGTCGTTCCGCTATATCGGCTAACTTTTATAACAAGTGGTATCAGAGCAGAAGGTTTCAACATTGGATCAAGAAGACATGTGGAGGAGGAAACACGAGGTGGGGGTCGCGCATCGACAGGAGATCGTCAGCCGTGGCGATGAGATCGATGGCGACAACGAGGACGTTGCGGAGGTGACAACCTCGCTCGCGATCAGACCGGCGATGGCGGAACTTGACCGGAAGACGGGGCCGAGCGTGGCCGAAGGCGACCGGAGAGATCGGAGGGGTAGCGCCATGGACGGCGCGCCCGACGCACGCGGCGAACGCGGCAGGGAGGCCAGTGACGGAAGGGCGAAGCCGGCGAGCGTGGCACGGCGCGGCGGACGTGCAAGGCCGATGACGACGGGATCGTGGACGGAAAACATGAGGGCTGCGACTGCGGTGCGTGCAGAGGCACGAACGACACGTATGTGTACGTGTCACATGCATACAGTACGCGTACAGATGGTGGCCAAGAGCAAGAGATATGCACGAGTTGTTGCAAGCATGCAGGATATTAATTCCATGCATGGATTAATTAGTTGCATCTTAATGCATGAGTGCATACGATTTCAATTGGATTTGTGTGGGACACGTACAAGCTGCGTGCATGCATGGGCATGCAGAACAGACGACGTGGATTGCTGCCGTGAGAGAAGATGTGAGGAGAAGTCAAACATCAAAGGCCTAATTCCGTGTGGGAGCTGGTCAGGAGACCGTTTCTGATAAGGCACGAAATTATGTCATCGACGCGGACTCGGCTTGACGTGTCCATCCGGACTCGAAGTCGATCTGGACTCGGTATCCCGGTGGCTGATGCTATTTAAGGAGCGGTCAGGACGTGAACCTATGGCAGAAAAGGCGACGGGCAATTGATCGAGACACTCGTAAGCTTACCACGGAAGGCACAAATCTGGGCTCAAGGCAAGATCGTACAGCAGGCGTACAGGTGTGTGCAAACCGGACAGAACCAAAAGCAGGACGGAGAAAAACCGTGAAGCAGATTAGTTGGATCGGTGCGGCGGCGGACAGGTGGTTTGCTGTTGAATGTCTGAGATCGGATCACAAGACGGGATTGTGAAGACGAATACGGACGGTTCTGAGAAGGGCGAGTATTCTGGTGGCGACAGACCAGTCAGGTCGCGGGTTGGCAAGATGGCGCCGACAGGTATGAAATTTGATTTGGTGAAGTTTGACGGCTCTGGAAATTTTGGCTTGTGGCAAACTAGGGTCAAAGATTTGTTAGCTCAACAAGGTGCTTCAAAGGCTTTGAAGGGTGTCAAACCGGCCAAGATGGAGGATGACGATTGGGAGGAGATGCAGTTGCAGGTGGCTGCGACAATAAGGCTATGTCTTTCAGATCAGGTCATGTACCATGTGATGGAGGAGACCTCACCAAAGATAATTTGGGAAAAGTTGGAAGCTCAGTTTATGTCCAAGACTCTGACAATAAACTGTATCTGAAGCAGAAGTTGTATGGGCTAAAGATGCAGGAAGGGGTGGATCTGACAGCACATGTGAACGTTTTCAATCAACTAGTCACAGATCTTGTGAAGATGGATGTGGAAGTTGACGATGAAGACAAGGCCATAGTTCTTTTGTGTTCGTTACCTGAATCGTATGAGCATGTGGTGACTACTTTGACGTACGGCAAGGAGACCATCAAAACTAAAGATCACTTCTGCGTTGTTGGCTCGTGATCAGATGAGAAAGAACAAAGAGGGTGAAACATCTCAAGCGGAGGGTTTGCTAGTCAAAGAAGATCATGCTGGGCATAAGGTAAAGAAGAACAAAAAGAAGAAGGTGGTGCAGTGCTTCAGATGTGATGAGTGGGGGCATATAAGCAAGAAGTGCCCAATACTGAAGGGAAAAGCTAAGGCTAATGCAGCGACTTCTTCAAATGACTCAGATAGCGATGGTTGTGATCTTCTCAAAATGTCAAGTGCACAGTCTAAGGATGCAGAAGCGTGGATATTAGATTCAGCTAGCTCGTTTCACGTGACGCCAAGGAAGGAGTGGTTCTTTTCATACAAGTCTAGTGAGTTTGGTTTTGTCTACTTAGGCGATGACACAAGTTATCCAGCCGTGGGAGTAGGTGAAGTCAAAATCAAGCTAGAAGATGGAGGTGAACATGTTCTTCAGGGTGTCAGGCATGTACCAGGGCTAAAGAGGAATCTGATTTCGCTTGGAACCTTGCATGAAGAAGGGTTAATATTTCGCGGTAATCGGAATAAGAAGACCATGGAGATCATGAAGGGCAAGACGACTGTGATGACTGGAGAGAAGGTGGAGTCGCAACTTTACAAGCTGCGAGGGTGCACTATTGCAGGTGGAGTCCAGGAGGAAGCGGTTGCTGGGATAGCAATTGCTTTTGGTGGCGGCGGGTCTGGCGCAGACTCGTCGGGCGGCTTGCGGTGAAGCTGCGAAGAAGACAACCCAAGTCTAGAGGATAGGTGGATCGGCATGGTGATTCTACTACTTCTAGGTGGCTTATATTCGCCAAGGTGGAGTTTGTTAGAATAGGTGTCGAATATACTAGTCCTATTTGGTTACAGTTGGACTTGGAGTTGTAATAGGTGTTAGGGGTAGAGTTAGAGTCGGACTCTGTAACCTGTCATCTCTCTTAAATAGAGAGGGGGGCACGACAATGTAATCATGGCGACTACAATGTAGCGTAGACACGCAGGGAGATGATGGCGGCTTGGCCATGGACTCGTAGCGGCTAGGAGCTATATTGGTTGGGGAGGAGCACCCATAATCAGAGCCCCGGGGATGTAGGCTTCGGCTGAACCTCGTTAACAAATATCGTGTGTTCCTGAGTCGTCATCTGACATGTCTTGGGTGATCAATGATTGAAGCGATCGAGAAGGTTAGTCGTCGTTACTCTATATCAGCTAACTTTTATAACAATAATTGTACAGAACCAAGAGAAAGAGCAGTTAAATTGACCATCCTACCATACTTAAATACCTTAGAAATAGCTAAATAGATGGTTAGTGAGATGCTTCTTATAAATGCAGGAGAGACACTAGTAATAATTATGGACATATAAGGAATATAGTTAATAAATTTGCATGGAGCCCATATATCTTGCAAAAGTTTGAAAAACTATACGCCTAACAGAAACAAACGATGGAGTGTATGCAAAAAAAAAAAAGATCTGATATGTGAAAATGGTACTAGTAGATTTGTTATGGAAAATACCTTCACGTAGTTAGATTTTAATTTTTTTTTATAAATGTATTGTTAGAAAAGGATTTTTTTTTATGAATGTGTTGTTAGAAAAGGAATGATCACACATGTTCAACAAGTAAAAAAAGAACAGGAGTGGTATTAACAGAAGATAACAACTGGTGGCATAAATTTATACCATTTCAGATCCATAGTATCGTACAATATTTGGATGTTGCAGACGATTCAGAAGTAATATTTCCTGGTAAATAAAGAATAATATAAGAGCAGAGAAGATAGCGTAAAGAAAAGGACAGTAAACGTGGAGAAAAATGTCATACCTGACACAACTGCTTTGCACTTTCTTTTGATTTAGGATCGTCTGAGAAAAGGGTGACCTCCTTCATTGCACACATTTCACCTTTATCACTGATACAAATGACAGAGAATTATATTATATCAAATTTGAAGAGAAACAAAGGATGATCAGTCCTAATAAAATAGTCAGTGGCACACTACTCAAAGGATATATAGAGTGCTTGTTACAAACAACATTGTGACAAGACCACTTCAATAATTACACTCTCAAAGAATAATGATGTCTTAGGCTTTGAAGGTGAAATATTTCTGAATGAGACTCTGTTTAAAACATGCCAGTTTACTAATCACTAAACCATGATATTTATTACGATTCAGGATGTAGTATGAGAAATAAGTATATGGGAGAGATTACAAGAGCTGAATGAGTTAGTACCATTGTAGGATTTATTAATGATGAAAACCATATTGTGCTTTGCATCGAAATTAAAAATGAACATCAACCAATTCCGAGCATCGAAAGGGCATACCTGTTAAAGCCAATGTATACATGGCCAAATGTCCCACGGCCGACAAGCTTTCCCTTCTTCCACCGTGATCCAGGACTAGTTGGATTTTCTACTCTACCAGGACTATGTGAGATAGGACTAGTTGGGGTGGAATTGTTTGGCAAAAAGGTGGAATTGTTACATATGCTTAGTGGTGGAAGGGGCAATCTGTGGGTTTGCTTCCTCTTCCCTTCATCAAGTCGCCTTGTTGGAGATTCAGGTGCCATCCCACCAGCCCTTGGATGCAATGGAGAGACACTTCCACTATGTACCCTTGAACTTGGACCAGGGCTTGTCATTCTTGGGCTGGGAATTGGTGAACACTCTGGACTACCTCGGCTAGGTTGCCAAAAGAGCTGGGCTAGCATATCACCTCCCACTGAATTATGCCCAGATGTTTGCCCTGAACCAGGACTGGAGCACTGAGCAGACCCAACAAAAGTTACATCTGTATGAGGCTTAACTGCCCAAAATGCTGAACTTGGAATCTGATCAGGGCATAATATTCTTGGGCTTCGAGAAGGGCTTGACATCACACTATTGGGAGCACTGTCCAGAACAACCTTTCGTGAATTTTGTAAATTTGACTGGTAACTGTCAGCAACAACAGTACCTCTGGGACTTGTAGATAGAATTTGATTACTCAAGAAAGCATTGGTTGGCATCGTCACTTCCTTAGTGCCCTTTCTGGTGATGGCACTAGAACACTCCTTATGCACAACACTTCACAAACAGAGCAATCAATATCCATAAGAATATTTTTTAAAAAAAGTACACAAACAAAAATGTGTTTGGATAAATCATGGATTAAGAAGGATACCTTGAATTACCGGTTGTAGCAACTTTAGCCACATTGTCGGTGTCATTTGCCACAGGTCCCTGAAGTCGCAAATCTCCAGGATCATCGCTATCTATAGAACCATGGCTGGAGATAGAAGCAGTTGATAATTCTGCAACAGGTTCGGTAGTTTCAGGTCTTTCTTTAACCCAATTTGTGGTAGGGAGCGGTAGTTGTTGTCCTTTGCCACGCTTTTCCAAAACGACCTTTGATTCGGTAATATCAGAAGCAGTACGTGCCACCATAGCACGGGATCTAGGAAGGGGAAGTGGTTGTGCATGTGCTCTGGCTGCAGCAAAGCTTTGACAACGAGAAACCTCTTTTGAAGGGGATGCAGAGCGTGATTGGGCAGTAGACCAGCAACCTTTCTCAGCAGTTGGATCTTTACTATGTCTACGATTCCCCCGTGATTTTGTTCTCCCCTTTTGCTCATTTGGACTTAATAACCGATGAAATGTGTCAATGAGGTTTTCTTTGGCAGTCTTCTTTACTTCTTTTGATGAAGACTTCCCCCACCATGGTGGCATATTGAATATGAAACAAGTTGGACAGGATTTCACTGAGCTAATCACACATTGAAATTTTGAAATCACGCAGGTATCCTTAGTTTCTGTAGTGACAAAAAAAAGTCCTCAACTCACTGGAATGCTGTATTATGGAGATTCCCAGTTAGTGCTTGCTCATGCTACTTTGATTTCTGTTTAATGCCTTCACCACAAAGGCTGAAAGTTAACAAATAACAATAATGAGGACCAAGTCACTAACAGCGTGCATCATTACAGTTCCACACAACTGCAAAAGAGTTGAGTTTAATGGAGAAGTACATGACCATTGAGAGTATAAAGGCAAACTGTGTGCTGTTTGTTAAATTTAATTAAATTTAATAATACCTGGAAGTTGGAGGTAGAAGTAGCAATTACTAGAACGCTTACCTTTGGGGTTCATCTTAAAACCACAATGAACAAAATCACATGTCAAGCTTTCAAGCTTGCTACATCACTATCACCTACTGTGAGCAAATAACTACAGTGCCACCCATTGCTCTAAAATGAAATGCCAAGGAGATAAAGTACTTATTCTGTCACTAATTGCCCCGTGCATCATTTAAGTCAGAGATAACTCCTATACCACTGAAAGTTTCACCTATCTCTGTTTTGCCGATTGCCACTAAATAGGCTGTCTCTGCCATCACAAAACATTTGTCAACCTTTCATGCCATTTCTGTCCAAGTGTTATCAGCCTCCTGTCGAGCTAGCAGCAATATGGCATAATTGCGCTCTTCTACCTCCTCCTTAATCCCACCAGTGCCTCCAACCTCCGGCAAATTCCCTTCTTAACAAGCAGAGTGGCATGTACCGATGTGATGGCTACACTCTCCAAGTCGGTGATCCTACTATACTCGGAGCCGAACCAGTTCTAGCTAACTGATCCCGGTACCAAACTGTCACAGCCCCTTGGCTCCATACCTACATTTCTCCGCGAAACCAACAACCAAAGCACAGTTCTACACTCCAGGGGGCGGATCTAACGTGGGATATCGGGGTTGAGCTGAACCCCCACAAATTTGTTAGGACACAAAACTGTTATTAGTACCGCACCACGAACGCAACAAACAAATCAAATCGGGACGAGGTGGGACGGCTAGGTGACAGGGAAACAAATCAATCAAGTCCGAATCGACTCCCAATCTTACCCACACCAGCACATGGAAGAGGAAGAGAGAGGAGGGCTACGAAACTAGAAGGAATACCTTCAATTCGATACTTCGATTCGAACCGAGATGCTCGCCGGCCGGCCGCACAGGGGAGAATACTAGTGCGGTAGGGGGTCGGGGAAGGGGAGCAGCAGCCCGTCCGCACTGCGCCTCCGGCCCTGCTCGCCGGCCGCGCGCGCGACGGAGGCGAGTCGGTGTCGCGGAGGAGGAGAACGCTGGCCGAGCCTCCGCCCGTGCGTCCGCCGGAAACGGTTTTTTTTTTTCAGACGAACAGATAAGATGAGCAGAGGAGAGGAACGGAGAGAGACGGTGGAGAGGAAAATCGTCAGGCGAAATGCGACTAAATTGTGCACAGGCGCACCATTGCCTCCTCCAGCACTCTTTCCAGAAAAAAAAAAAAACAAAAACAAAAACGTTCGGGGAAACGAGTTCGTCCGTGACACCCCGACGAACCGACACTCTGCGTGGAGACGGTGTGGCCCGCTGCTCTGTCCATATACATGCACCAGCGGAGTAACTGCGATGTGCTAGCACCAGCGCGATAGATGAGACGTGTATGGTTGCTGCCCCGAAATGCTCAAGTTGCATCAGCAAAACTGATTGTTGAACGGAATTGGCCATGCCCTCGTGTTTCCTGCGCCCGTTTCGCACAAGAAAACAGCCACTGGTATTGGTGTGTGTCGAGAATTTCGTTTACAAGTATCCCGTATTCACGACTGATTAGTTGTTTGCTTGACTCGGTTAGTTTGGTTAGGTAAGGTGCTTGCAGGATGTACTACATGGAAGAGGACTCTGACTGTGAACTGGAGGCTGGACCGCTGGATCTGACCTCATTGCTGCAACGCAAGACTGTTATTGTCTCAGGACATCTAGGTGAAACTGACACGCCTGCAGTGTGGTATACTTCTTTTTTTTTTTAATGAGATGTCAAAGTCCACGAAAAAGCCATATATCCTTGCCGAAAAGAAGGTAGGCGTGGTTAGATTATGTAGTTGCATCAACCAAAACCAAACGTGACAGCCAACATGTAGTCTAAACCAGTTGCCCCAACATCATCATCAATCGTTTTCTCAGATCCTCTCTTCAGAAGGCAACACGAGCAACTGAACACAAACACATATCGCTGTCGCCTATTGCACATTAACCCCTGTGACAAGTGCATGCTCTCTGCACATCGTCGTTACGCGCCTGAAATTCTCCGCAGTCCGATCCCTCACTGGATCTAATTGCGCAACAGAACGCTATCAAGGCGACGATGCGCACGGACGAAAACGGCATCATGCCAACCTCAGAGTTTCTGCTTTTCGCAATGGAAATCTAGCAAAACGATTGTGCCTTACATGCGGAAAACTGAGGAACTTCTCGTGAAGAAGTAGGCAACCTTAAGTACACGTTTACTACTACTTATAGATCTATTTGACAAATTAATTAGCAAGTCGCTAATAGAATCACATAGTGATAGATCGAGGCTTGGAAAAGAAGAAAATGTCTCTTAAGAATAGAATAAAATAAATATAATAGTTGGCTGGTCACCAACACAAACTAACTCGAACAAATACTATCAAAGTACTCTGCATCTTAGCTACATCACAAATTATTGCTCTTTCTTTAGTTCTCTTTTTTGCTTCTCCGCTTCTGCTCTCTCAGATCCAAATCCAAGTAGATCTCGTCTTTGCAAAAAAAAAAAAATCCAAGTTTCTCTGATCCGGATGGTAAATTCAGAGAAGAAGCGGCTTAAATGTTCCCACCAAACCCATTTAATTTACTTACTGTCTCGTACTCTCTCTTTATCTACACATTGAATGTTCCATGCCTCCATCAGCACGAATCTTGGCGCGAGCGGGGCCCTCGGATCTTCTACGCGCATGGTGCGGTGGCCCTCACGTCCGCGCCGCGGAGCTCGTCGGCGACGGGCGCGAGGTCGCGTGGACGTACCTCCATTCGGAGCCCGTTCTTCATGAAGAGCGTGAGGGACATCTTCTGCTCGACTCGGTGTCCCTGCGCGACGGCGAGGCGGTGGCGGAGGAGCACGCTCCCGGCGATGTTCTTCATCTGCAGGTAGGCGAGGTCCTTGCCGAGGCAAATCCTCGGCCCGGCGTTGAACGCGACGAACTTGTACGAGTCGTGCGGCTCGAACTTGGAGCCGTCGGCCGACAGCCACCGCTCCGGCCTGAACTCGAGGCAGTCCTCCCCCCACACCGTCTTCATGCGCCCCGCCGAGTATATGGAGTACGTGACCGACGAGCCGGCCGGCACGAACGTGCCGTCCGGGAGGTAGTCGTCGGCGACGACGTGCTTGGAGTCCTCTGGGACGGAGGGGTACAAGCGGAGTGTCTCCGAGAGCGCCGCCTTGAGGTAGACCAGACTGTCGAGCTCCTCGAAGGTGAAGGGCGCCGCCAGCCACAATGCCGGGTCATGGGCGCCCCGGGACGCCGCGAGCACGGCGCAGAGCTCGTGCACGACCTTGCGCTCCACGGCGGGGTGGGTGGACACGAGCCAGAAGAACCAGGAGAGCGCCACGGAGGATGTGTCGCGGCCCGCGAGGATGAAGTTGAGCGCCACGTGCTGCAGCGACTCGTCCGAGTAGGAGCCCTTCCGCATGAACCGGGACAGCAGGTCGTCATGCATCGCCACGGTGTCGCACTTGCCGTTGCCCGCGAGCTCGAGCTTGCGCGCCTTGATGACGGCGGCGAGGTACTGGTCGACGTGCGCGACGCTGCTGGCCAGCGTGGTCTCCATGCCGAGGCCCAGCCACTTCTTGCAGCGCCACAGGTACTCCGGGAAGATGAACCGGTTGAGCGTGGCCTCGGTCGCGCGGTCGAACGCGGAGGCGAAGGCGTTCTCCGGCAAGCCCTTGGCGAGCGTCTCGGGGTCCTTGCCGAACGCCAGGCCGCAGATGTTGTCGAAGGTGAGGCGGAGGAGGAGGTCCTGCAGGTCGACGTGCGCCTTGCCGGCGGCCGCGTCGTCCAGGATGGGCAGCAGCCGGTGGTGGATGGACCGCGAGACCCACCTGGACATTGCCGTCCGCAGCGTGCGCGTGGTGAACTCGAGCGCCGCCGTCTTCCGCTGCGCGACCCACGTCTCGCCGTCGGAGTTGAAGATGCCGTCGCCGAGCAGGTCGCGGAAGACGGCGTGCCAGAAGGGGCCCTTGGGGTAGTTGTCGAACCGCGACTTGAGGACGTGCTCCAGGTTGCGCGGGTCGCAGGTGACGGTGACCAGCCCGCCGCGGCGCGCCACCCCGGGCACCGCGAAGATGCACGTCTGGTACGTGCCGCCGGCGCGGCGCAGGTTGGCGGCGATCCACTCGTGCATGTTCTCGGCGTGCTGCACCAGCCCAGGCAGGCTGCCGACCACCGGCCACACACGCGGCCCGCTCAGCCCCCGGGACATCCGCCAGAACCACGTCATGTACGCCGCCGCCACCGCCACCACCACCGCCCACGTCCCCACCTCCATTTTCCTCTGGCAACAAACTCTGTAATGTACGTACAGCTGCTAGCTAGGGCTGTATGGATCCGATGAGAATGCCCGGTGATGGCTAGCTACACTGCGCTAAGTGACTCCACATGGAGCAAGCAATGAGGATGGCAGAGTGCAGCAGGGAGAGACCGAGGTTTTTATAGAACTGGTCGGAGCACAGTCGAGATGGATGCCAATTTATTGCAGGTCGCGCACCGGTCCTGCTACGCTGCTACTCCTAGCTGCTACCACCAAGCGCGAGCTCTCTCTCTCTCTCTCTCTCTCTCTCTCTCTCTCTCTCTCTCTCTCTCTCTCTGCATGTACCAGTGTACATGAACGATGCAGCAGCAGGACGCAAGTCACGCAACAACTCCGATCCTACGTACACACATGCATGTACGCTACACTCGCATATACTAAGGCCGTGCTTAGTTGTCTTGGCAAAAAAAAAAATTGACGCATACCAATACACATTTAAAATATTAAATGTAAACCAATAACAAAACAAATTACAGATTCCGCCTGTAAACTACGAGACAAATTTATTAAGTCTAATTAATCCGTCATTAGTAAATGTTTACTGTAGCACTACATTGTCAAATCATGGTGTAATTAGGATTAAAAGATTCGTCTCGCAATTTACATGCAAACTGTGTAATTGGTTTTTTCATCTATATTTAATGCTCTATGCATGTGTCTAAATATTTGATGTGATGGAAAAGTTGAAAGTTTGAAGGGAACACTACCTACGACGAGGACTTCTGCATCGATCCATTGATCAGGATCAGAGTTTGTGGTGCCTTGCGAGTGGTGAGTCGATCCATTGATCACCATAGTTTGTGGTGCCTTGTGATTGGTGACCGGTTCGGTCGCTCGGCCGCGAGGAGCACGGAGCCGGTCGACCATAAATTGGCGCCTGCGCGGGCCGTTGGGCGTCCGACCGATCGATGGATGGATCAGTGGCCAATGAGGCAATGATCACTTGATCAGCCGCGGTGATCGACGGGCACCTAACCGCGGGGCGAGCCATTGAATGCACGGCCGCATTGAAGGGTGGCCATGGGGATGGTGGTGGCGGAGGCGCAGACGCTTAAATGGGGATCCATCTGCACGCAGTACACATATGCGTGGCTAGCTAGCTAGATAGACGGAGTGCAACTGCAATGCAATGCAGTGCAGTTCAATGCAGATGCAAATGCAAGTGTAAAGTGACTCCAGCTTAGCTAGATCTACCGGCAGATCAACTCGAAGACTTCAATTGTGTGCCGCAGCGCGCATGTAATGTGATACGGCTACTACTACTCCGTAGGGCGTAGGCTAACGAAAACCTCTTGCTAGCATGCATGTGATGTTGCTGACCGGCGTGTGTACGAGTGGTAGGACTCTGAATCTGAGAGCATAAATAGATGCTACGCGCCTACGCTAGCCATGGAGGAGGACCGGAGATTGGAGACAGTCTCGGAGGGGATTGGTCGCCGGTCGCCGGTTGGGTTCGCGGCTTGGCGCGACGGTCACTTGGACCGTTGGGTAGCCAACTCTGCCCACTGCCCACGCAGAACCGCAAACAAACAGAAACAGACATGAGTTCGGGAGAAAAAAGGAAATTAAGCTCCTGGCAAGATTCGTATACGTGCACACATCCGCCACAGATGCTAATCAGTCCGCACGGCAGCGTCCGTATGTACGTAGTATACGCGTCTGTATTTATATAAACTTTATACGTATGCACATAGATATTGTACGTACACGTATAAAGTTTGTATGCATATATGTATAGAGTTTGTATATATGTATAAATTTTTTGTATGTGTCCGTATATACGTATATATTATTTGTGTGTATATATTACCTCTGTGTACATATACGTATACATGTATATTTTATATGTATAAGTATAAATTTTTATGTATGTGTACATATAACTTTTTTAGATGTATATAAAAAATTTTATATACAT